CCCCTGGGGGACAAGCCCATGGCCACCTGTGGCCGTGGCAGTGGCCGTGTGGCCAAGCCTCAGCCATCCCCTGCCGGTGACAGACGGCTCCGCTCCCCGGACCGGGCGGTGTCGGCGATCAGTGGCCATGGAGGGGGCTCGGGGGACAGCCTGGCTGAGCCGCTGCGCTCCTGGCACAGGTTCTGCTCCCTGAGCGGGCTCCACGTGGGCTCCCGAGGTCCGTGGGTGCTGATGGAGGATGGCGGGTGCTGCACCACGGCCCCAGCCCGGGCACAGCCCCGGCCCCGCGCCTTGCGGCCGCCCCAGCTCGCCGCACGTCCCGCCATCGATCGCGGAGCAGCCGCCACCGTCACCGCGGGCCCGCGCCCACCGGGGCGGCTCGAGCAGAGCCGGCCCCGCGCCGCGAAGCCAAATATTTGACTGTGCAAATTGGATCGATTGTGCTGCGGCTGGCGGGGGCTCGTGACAGACGGACCCTCCTCCTGCCTCACCCCTGCTCCTGCACCCCCTTCCGAGCCGGAGCAGCCCCACCTGGAGCACGTCCTTCCCCAGTGACCCCCCTTCCTGGGGCACCCCCTCTCCTCTGCACCCCTTCCTCAGAGCATCCCTTCCCCAGGGCACCTCATTCCTGAAACCGCCCTTTCTTGGAGCTCCATCGCTGGAGCACCCCCTTCACAGAGCACCCCCTCCCTGGGGTAACCCCTTCCTGGTGCCCCCCTTCCTTGGGACACCTACCATGGGATCCCCGCTGAGGCGGGGCGGGGGGGGGGGTCAGGTGTCCCCCCACGAAGCTGCAGGTGCAGGGTGATGTCCCCCTTGGGGCATGTCCCCAGGTGAACTGGGTGGGTGCCTCAATACCCACAAGGGGAACAAGCCGGGCTGGGGTGAGTGTGGTGTCACTGCATGGCACTGGTGTCACTGTCACTGCACGGCCCCCGGGGTGTGGCACAGTGTCAGTGTCACTGCACACCTCCCTGGGGTGGCACGTAGTGTCACCATGGCTGCACAGCCCCACTCGTGTCACACGGAGCTGCTGCACAGCCCTGCGGTGTTGCACAGCTTCACTGTTGCTCCCTGGAGTGTCACATGGTGTCACTGTCACCGCGCAGTGCACAGGGTGTCACTGTCACTGTGGGGCCGCCGGGTGCCACGCAGTGTCACTGCAGCTCCCGTGGATTGTCACACAGAGTCACCGTCAGTGCCTGGTGCTGGGGCTGTCACACAATGCTATGTCACTGCGTGGCCCACGGGGTGTCACCCACTGTCACCGTCACTGCCGGCCCACAGTGTATCACCCAGTGTCACTGTCACTGCATGGGCCACGGGGTGTCACCCACTGTCACTGTCACTGCACAGCCTGGGGTGCCACATACCTTCACCGTGCAGGACACTCCCCGGTGCCACCCCTGCACACCCCATCGCTGGCACCCACTTGTCACTGCCCCCCACGTCCGTGTCACACCCCGCCCCCAGTGGCCGTGGGGCACCCCCGCGACAGCACAGCTGGTCCCAGCCCAAATCCCGGCTGCTCCCACCCCATGTCCCCCTGGGGGACACGTCCCCGAGCCCGTCCCCTCCGCCAGCCATGCGGCCGTCGCCTCCCAGCACTCACCGCCGGCGCTAATTAACTGCCGGTGTTGGCAGCCCTTAATTGCCGCGCGGTGGGAGGGTGACGGGCCCCGCCGTGTCCGTAATGAGAGGCAGCGTGACAGGGACAGGGACGGGGAATGTGCCACCCACACCTTGCCCTCCCCCTGCCGGGCAAGGGACAGTGCCTGGTGTTGGGCTGGACGTGCTAGGATGGTGCTGGCCCCGGGGCCAGGGCTGACCTGGCCAGCTAGCCAGCCCCTGGGTCTGCTGGCTGGCCACCAGCCAACTGCTCAGCCAGCCAGACAAGCAGACAGGCAGCTGGACAGACAACCTGACTGGTGGTCTACTGGCCAACCAGCCATCTAGCCAACTGGCCAGCCAGCCCACCCCCCAGCCATCTACCCATCCATGCAGCCAGCCAGCCGGCTGGGTGTCCCACGAGCCCAGTAAGCCAGCTGGCCACCAAGCACCAGCTCACCAACCAGCCGTCCACTTGTCCTTCAAGGCCAGCAGGCAGCTGGCCCTCCCTGCCCACAGCTGAACGTCCCCCTCCCATGGCCCTTCCAGAGCCCATCCTGAGGACACAGCTGGAATTTGGGGGACAGCATCCAAACTCATCGGGGCCTGCAAACGGCCGCTCCCTCCCCAGGCTCGTCACCATGGGCCGACATTGGGCTCGTTGGTTGTGTCCAGCTCTGTCTTAATTCCAGCTGAGCCACGCCTGGGCTGAGCCACAGCGGTAGGGCCAGGTGGCAGGTGTGGGGGCACAATGTTCCTGTCCCCCTGGCCAAGCATGGTCTAAGGGCAGTGTCTGCCACAATGCCAGGAGGGGAAACTGAGGCACGGCACAGTGCCGGCTCCACGAGCCCCCTGCCCTGGCCTGGCCACCCTTGCCCTTCCCCAAATCCTCCTCCAGGAGTTCCACAGCAAGCGGGAGGTGGTGGGCACAGCCACCCCCGGCCAAAGCTGCACCCCTGGAGCATCAATTGTCCCCGTCCCCGCTGCCGCGTCCCCAGCATGGCCCACCCGCCCCCGCGCCGCGTTGCCAAAGCAAACAGCCGAGGGCTCGGCCGGCATCGATTCTGCGGGAGCTGCTGTTTGCTTAACCTTTGCAGAGGAGCGGCGGGCGTCGAGTGGAGCTGCAGCCACCGCCACCGCCGCAGCCACCACCGCAACAGCTGCAGCCACCGCTGCTGTCACCACCGCCACTGCAGCCACCACTGCAATAGCCATAACCGCTGCTGCCACCACTGCCACCACAGCCACTGTGGCCACCAGAACTACCACTGGAGTCACTGCTGTCACTGCAACCACTGCTGCCATCGCTGCTGTCACAACCACGGCAGCCACTGCTGCTGCCACCTCCCACCTCTGTCCCTTTCCCACCTCCTGCACTCCCAAATGTGGCCATTTGGACCTTTGCCGATCCCTTCCCTGTGCCCAGGTGGATGGAGCTGGTTTGAGGGGCTGCACTGCACCCCCTTCCCATGCAGGGCTTGGGGACAGGGAGCACCTCAGGGGTTCCAGCCAGTGTCACCTGGGGTGTTGTATCCCCCATACAGTGCTGCTGTCCCACAGGCTGTCCTGGCTCTACACCTGGCTGTAGGGACACAGCTTGGGGACATGGTGGCCGAGGGTGGTGGCCTTGCCATAGGGACAGGGTGGCTCAGAGCAATGCAGTGGCCTGGGGTGGTGGCTATGCCAAGGGGACACAATGTCCTGTGGCAACAAGGTGACCTGGGGCTGTGTCCCCACCACGAGGATGCAGTACCCAGGACCAGGGATGTCCCCTGACCCTCCAGATGAGACGAATGCCCTGACGCATCCAGTGTGGGCCTGTCCTCCCTCTGTGTCCCAACCACGGCCACCCTGTCCCCACACAGAGCCCCCTGCCCACCCGGGCCACCCCGTCCCTGTGCTGATGGTGACTCACGCAGCCCGTGACCTCGCAAGGCGTATTTTTAGGCGCTTGTTAAAACGGAAAGATAACGAGGAATAGGGGGGTGTGAAGGGGGGGGCGACAAAAATGATGGAGAAAAGAAGCAGGGAAACAGCTGGTGACATAATCGTAACAAACTCTGAGGGGGGGATAAGGTGCTGGCAGCACCCCCCCCAAAATACTCTCCCCCTCCCCAGCCTTGTAAAGACCCCAGGAATAATTGCCTGCTTAAAGGTAGCTAATTGATTTCTGCTCGCTGATTAAAGCCTCTGCAGGAGCCGGGGGACATGCGGGGGCGATCGATGGCTGTCAAAAGTCCCCTTGGTTCCCCTTCTTTTGGGGCGGGGCTGGGGCTTGTCCCCCGTGTGTCCCTTGGGGTTTGAGGCCATTGCACAGGCGTGAGGGGGATGAGGGGATGCACCCCCAGGGTCTTTTTTGGGGGCAGGAGGGATGATGACCCTATGGACTCACAGGTGCCACTGAGGCTGATGCCACCTCGGTGTTGTCACCGCACCGCTGTGGCGGATGGCACTGGGAGCGGCCCCGGGCCGCTCTCTGCCTGTGTGTCCGTGCCGCCCTCCCCCATCCCCGCGTCCTTCTCTCACCCCCGGCGCTGGCGGCGCCTGTCACTTGCCATCGCGTCCCGCTGTCCCCGCCGAGGCTGATGGAGATGGCAGGCGACGGAGCGGGCGCAGCCGCGTGTCCCCATGCCATGAGCCCGCCGGTGCTCGGCCCCGGGCACGGCTCTTTCGCGCAGCCCGGCCACGCCGGCGGTGGCACCTGCGGGTGCCCCGTTGTCACTGTGGCCTTTGCCACCAGCGCTGACATCGCATCTCACGGACCCTCGGCTGACCGCGATGGATGCTTGGCCACGTGGGTGTCACTGGGCTGTCCCAAAGTGTGGGCCCTCGTGGGAGGAGAAACTGAGGCAGGGAGTAGGGGCGAGCCCTGGGGACCATCCCCCGTGGGTGTTCTTCTGTGGGGACACAGGTGACGGCTTCCAGGGGTGTCCCCAGCTCCACGGGGGCGCTCGCAGTGCTCGGGGTCTGGCGTGGGGACAGGGCGTGGCTCGGGGCCGGGGTCACCGAGAGATCCCGCGCGCTTGGAGGAGGGGGTCAGTGGGGCAGCCGGTTCCACCTCCCTGCCTCAGTTTCCCTCCCTCGGAGAGGGGCATCGCGTGTGGGCGGGGCGGGAGCGTTCTCGTGGGCGTGGTTAACACCACGGAGGCGTGTCCGGGATGGATGGGCGGGATCGAGGGGCGTGTCCGGCTGCGAGATGGGCGTGTCCCGGCGGGGTGGGCGTGGCCCGTGCGGCGCGGGGCGCACCGGAGCCAGCGGAGCGCAGCGGAGCCGCCGCCGCCGCCGCCAGCCCGAGCCCCCCCGCCGCCGCCGCCCTGCTCCCCCCCGCCGGCACCATTCCCTCCCCCGGGCGCCAGCGCGCCCCGGCCGGGCGGCGGCTCAGCCTGGGCCGGAAAACTTTGCTGGCGGCCGCGGCGGGGGTGGTGATGGTTCTGGTGCTGGTGGTGCTCATCCCGGTGCTGGTGAGCTCCGCCGGTACCGACGGCCGGTACGAGATGCTGGGCACCTGCCGGATGGTCTGCGAGCCCTACGGCCCCGCCGCCCCCCCGCAACCGGCCGAGCGCGGCCCCCTCTCGCCGCCCTCCACCCTGGTGCAGGGTCCCCAAGGCAAACCGGGGAGACCGGGGAAACCGGGACCACCGGGACCGCCCGGAGAACCGGGACCGCCGGGGCCGGTGGGGGCGCGGGGTGAAGCAGGAAGACCGGGACCCCCGGGATTACCGGGACCGGGGGCTACGGGCGCGGTGAGCGCGGCCACCTACAGCACGGTGCCGCGGGTCGCCTTCTACGCCGGCCTCAAGAACCCCCACGAGGGCTACGAGGTCCTCAAGTTCGACGACGTGGTCACCAACCTGGGCAACAGCTACGACGCCGCCTCGGGCAAGTTCACCTGCGCCATCCCCGGCACCTACTTCTTCACCTACCACGTCCTCATGCGCGGCGGCGACGGCACCAGCATGTGGGCCGACCTCTGCAAGAACGGGCAGGTAAGGGCTGCCCGTCCCGGCTCCCTCCGCGGGACCGGGAGCTCTGCTGTCCCCAAGCACGGGAGAAGGGCTATGGGTGCTTCCTCGGGGTGTTCCATCCTTCTCCTGGCCCCGGGAATGCACCCCCAGGGTGCCACATCCTCTTTGTGCTGATGATGGACCGCGGGTGCTTCCCCAGGGGCCCCGTCCTTTTCCCGGCCCCATCCGTGCACTCCTGGGTGCTCCATCCTTCTCCTGGCCCCAGGGATGCACCCCCAGGGTGCCACATCCTTCTCCCAGCGCTGATTACGGGCTCTGGGTGCTTCCCCAGGGGCCCCATCCTTTTCCCTTCCCCAGAGATGCATCCCCAGGGTGTCACATCCTTCTCCCAGTGGCATTGATGGGCTCTGGGTTCATCCCTGGCATGCCACATCCTTCTCCCAGACACTGACATGCACCCCTGGGGTGCTTGATCCTTTCCCAGTGGTGAAGATGGGCTCTCTGTGCCCCCCCAGAATGCCCTGTCCTTTTCCTACCCCCAGAGATGTACCCCCAGGATGTTCTGTCCCTCTCTCGGTGACAATGATGGGATTTGGGTGCGTTTCCAGGGTGCCACATCCTTCTCCTGGGCACGGAGCTGTAACCCCTGGGTGCCCTGTTCTCCTCACAGTGCCATCATGGACTCGGGGTGCACCCCCGAGGGGCTCTGTCCTGCTCCCATCTCTGGAGCTGCATCCTCAGCGTGCCCCATCCTTCTCCCAGTGCTGGAGATGCTCCCCCAGGATGCTCCTTCCTGCTTCCAGTGACAATGACGGGCTCTGGTTGTGTCCCCGGGGTGCTCCATCCTGCTCCCCTCCCTCAAGAAGCACCCCTGGGGTGCCCTGTCCTTCTCCCAGGGACAGTGCAGGGCTCCGGGTGCACCCCTGGGTGTCCCATCCTCCTCCTCCCGTTCCCAGACACTGCTCTGTGTTCCCTGTCCCTCTCCCAGTGCTGGGGACAGTCACCATCCACCCTGACGTGTCCCCGGGGGTTCCCTCAGCTCTTTCCTTGGCCACGGAGATGTTCCTTGGGGTGCCTCGTGATGTCTTGTGGTGCCTTGGGGCACCCCCACAGCGTCCCCGGGGTGCCCCCCCGGCCATGCCATTGTCCCCGCGGAGGTCCCTGCGGGGACAGGGCTCCTCGGCAGGGATAGTGTCCGCGGTGACCTCGAGGGGGGCAGTGCCTGCCCCGCTTTTGGGGGGCTGCACCCCCAGCCCGGAGCGGCTCTGCTGCCGCTGCTGGGTCAGGAGAGACGGGCTGCGTGGGGACACCGCGGGGGAAACACACCCCGGGGGTGGCTCCATCCTTCCCCCCCCCCCTCTCCCGCATCCCCCGACCTCATCCCGCTGGAACCCCCAATGCCAAGACTTAGCCTCGCCATCCACACGCTTTTCGGGTGCCCCTTTCCCACGCCATGTCCCCCTCCCGGCCACGACTCGAGGGACAAGATGTGGCTGTGACCCCCGGGATGCCACCCGAGCTCAGTTCCCCTGGATGTCACCGCAGCCGGCATTCCCGCGGGATTCATCCACTCTGCTCCCACTTCCCGGCGTTTCCTCCGGCATCACAGCCCGCGATCCATCCTTGTCCTGAGGATGCAGGAGCCCGAATTAACCCAAAACTGAGTTATCACCGCAAAAACAGCCGGGGTGTGAGGCAGGAGTGGGAGCCTCACCTCTCCCGGAGCCCTTCCGAGCGGGAGCACAGCAGGAGCCGCTCGGCAGCTTTTCTCCATCCAAACAGTTCAAATTTCCTTTTACTGAGATTATTTTTGTCCTCCCCCGCCCTCCAGCCTTAAATTTTTGGGGGTTCCAGCGCCGCTTGGCACTTCTGGCTCTTTCTCCCAAGCAGCATCCGTGTAACTCCGGACTGAGCACCCCAAAAACTCACCTCATCCCTTTGGCCTTCCCCAAAATCTTTTTGGGGGGCCACCCCAAACCTTCCTACCCCCCCCAGCTCTGCGGGGCATCGACATTCCTGGATGAATTTCCAGAAGCTATGGAGTCCCTTGTCAAGAGGAGCTGCGCTCGGGCTGGCGATGCAACTTAATTAACTGCTTGTTAATTACTAACAAGGCATTGCCGCATCAATATCTATAAAGAAGATCCCCCTCAATGGCCCAAATAATTTAAAAATGGGGTTATTTAGGGGGTTGCTGCCAAAAATCCCCCGTCCCTGGCACGGTGTGGGCTTCCCAGCAGACAAAGGTCGATCCTGGCACAATCGGAGCAAGTCAGAACTTGGGGGGCCCCCTCTGGCCCCCAAAAATCCCCTGGGTGCTGCCGGTTTCGGGGCTGCCCATCACCGTTGGGTCGGGGCTGGAGTTAATGAGAGCCAGGGGAGCTGCTGCTGGTGGTTAATTAGCATTAATAATTATTTGTATTATCACGTAGCTGAAGTGAGAGCAGTGGGAGGGAGGAGGTGGATGGACAGAGGGACGGACTGATTGATTGATTGACTGATTGATTTATAAATGGATGGGTGGACAGGGCTGATACCAGGTGGTTTTTGGGGTCCCCATGCTGTAGAAGGCCATCCCCAGCTCAGGGAGGGTCACAGCCCCAGGGGACTGTTGGGGACAGTCCCCAAGGATACACAAGGACATGCTGGGGGGTCCTGCGGGCACCCACTGCCCTGTCTGGGGGTCGGGGGAGCATCTGCTGATCTACCCAGGGGCCCTGGGGGGCACCTGCTGCCGTGCCCAGGGGGATCTGAATGGGGGCACCCAGAGCTGTGCCCGGGGCTGCTGGGACAGCATCCAGAGCTGTGCCCGAGGATCCTGAGGAGCATCTGCCACTGCATTTGGGGTCTCAAGGGGCAGCTGCTGCCTCACCTCGGGGGTGCTGGGCCATGGTGGCATGTGGTGTCCCCGAGGCCGCAAGTGTCACTGCACATGGCAGCACCCCACTGTCCCCTGTGCGCTTGAAAGCTCCTGGCTGCAGCCACCTTGGGCACCACTCCAGAGTGTCCCCAGCACCGGGGACACCCCCAGCATTGTCACTGGGGTCAGGGAGAGCAGCTGCAGCAGAGCCCAGGCTGGGGCCATGCCACCTCCATGACTCCCAGCTCCCGGCTGTGCCATGGGGAAACTGAGGCACAGAACAGGACAAGGGGGTGAGGCCATCGCGGGGGGCCGTGATGGCAGCGCCACTCCTGTGCCACTGCGGTGCCTGGAGCGGCTCAGCCCGGGCCCAGCGCTGCCATTTATCTTCCCTGGTTAGCGAGGGCTGGCGGGCGCGCCGTGATGAGGCGGCTCCTTAACGAGGGAAGACGGATGGCACCGGGCAGCTCCAGCTGTGGGGGGGGAACGATGGTGGGAGCCCGGCGCCAAATGGCTTTTCCTGGCTCTCCCTCCTCACGGCTTCTTCCTTCACTCCTGTTCCGCAGCACAAGTGCCCAGGAGAGGTGGGGCGCTGTGACCGACTGGGATTCAGGGTCCCCCGCCGGGAATGGGGACCCTCGCGGTGGCAGGGTAGACACAGGGTGACTTTTAACAGGGTGAGTGTTGCTGGTGGCATGAGGGACACGGCTGCGTGGGCAAGTCCTGTGGGATCACCAGCCTGGCCGCGTGTATGTTCCAGAGTTTACAGCGTCCCACCCCAGCACCGCAGGCTGCCGGTGGGCTCGGGGGGGTGCAGCTGGGGGGGAGTGGTCCCCCGGGACTCCTGTCCTGGGGGCAAAGGACAGGACTGCATGGGGACAGCCGTCCTTCTCCCAGCGCTCCGGGACACCGCAGCCTCTCGCCGGTGCCTGCCCGCCCCGCGCCAGCCAATTAAGAGCCGATTCTCGTCGGCTGTAATTAGCGGCACCTTCTCCCGGCGCAGCGCTTCTGCATTTCACTTGGGATTTCAGCAGCCGCCTTGTCACTGTCACCCAGCGCCGCGATCTCCCCGCGAGGCGCCGGCGAAGATTTGATTAGCCAAAGAATTCTGCAGCGGCAGCGGGCTCCAGCCACGGAACCGCTTATCCAGGCGGTGACGGCTCCTCTGGCTCTGCCGGCACCCAGGAAACCTTTCCGGGGGCAGCATCCTGCCCCGCAGTGGGTGCGGGTCCGTGTCACGGGGGATGTGAACTCAGCCCTCGCCACACGCTCACGGTCCCCGTGCAGCTCCTGGGAAGCGCTGCGGGATGCAGAGTTCAGTGGTTTGGTTTGGGGCTGGGCTGGGAGATGCGGTCCTGTGTCCCAGGCATGGCCCTGTATCCAAACCCAGAGGTGGGGTCCTGTGTCTGAGCTGGGGTCCTGCATCCAAATCTGGAGTCAGGGTCCTGTGAGAGAGCCGTGGTGCCATGTGGAGCTGTGGTGCTGTGTCTGACCCAGAGTCCCACGGTCCTATATCCAAACCTGGATTTGGGGTTCCGTGTCAGAGCTGTGGCCCTGTATCCAAACCTGGATTTGGGGTTCCGTGTCAGAGCTGTGGCCCTGTATCCAAACCTGGGTTTGGGGTTCCGTGTCACAGCTGTGGTCCTGTATCCAAACCTGGGTTTGGGGTTCCGTGTCAGAGCTGTGGTCCTGTATCACGCTGGGGTCCTGTGTCTGGGCTGTAGTCCTGCACCTGAGCCCAGAGCCGCAGTCGCACGCCTGTGCCACCGTCCCCCGTCAAACGCAGAGCCGCGGTCCCGTGTCGGTGCCCGCCGGGTCAGGGGGGCTCCGGGCGGTGCTCGGCGGAGCCGCCTCCAGCCGGGGCCCGCTCACCCGCGGCGGGGGATCCAGGGCACCCCACGCTGCCCCGGGGCGGGTGGATCTGATGTGCGTGAGGCGGGACCCGGCGTGTCCCGTGGGATCCTCGGGCCGAGGCGTGCCCTGAGCCGGTCCCGCGCTGTCCCCTGGGCAGGTCCGGGCCAGCGCCATCGCGCAGGACGCCGACCAGAACTACGACTACGCGAGCAACAGCGTCATCCTGCACCTGGACGCGGGGGACGAGGTCTTCATCAAGCTGGACGGGGGCAAAGCCCACGGCGGCAACAACAACAAGTACAGCACCTTCTCCGGCTTCATCATCTACTCGGACTGAGCCCGGAGCCGCCGCACCGCCCCCGGCGCCCCCCGCATCCGCCCAGCCCCGCGGCACCGCCCCGGCCTCCCGCAGTGATCCCCAGCCCCACGGCGTCCCTGGGCCGTGGTTCGGTTCCCTGCTGCCCCCCAGTCCCCCCCGCTCCTGCCCAGCCCCACGGCACCCCCCGCCGCCGCCCAGCCCACGGATCCCCCCTCCCCGTGCTCCCTCCGGTGCCCCGAGCCCCCCTTTCCCGTCAGCTCACACGAGGGCTGCCAGTCGAGGGCTCGGGGCTGCAGAGGGTTGGGAGTGGCAAGAGGCTGGAGGTGCCCCCCGCGCTGCCCCACGGCACCCCCATCCCCGGCTGTGCCTCCCTTGTCCCGCCGCTGCTCTCTGCCCGCCCTGGGGCGCTGCCGGGGGTCCCGGGGGGGTCCGGCTGTACCGACGCGCGGTGTCCGCACGGCCCCGGGCCGGGGGGCTGTGCTGGGGCGGGGGGAGCCGCCGTCCTGCCCCTCCCCGCCGGGTGACAACATGGTAAAGCAGAGCTGTGATCTCTCCCCGTCTGCTGTGTGTGTCCCCAATGTCCCCAACCCGGGGAGGGGTCTTTCTGCCACCACCACCTCCCACCCCGACGCCGCTTGATTTACCAAATCAGCCCAGACACGAGAGGCTCCCTGTCCCTGCACCGCCGTCAGTGGGGCCGCTTGGGGTGCCACCCTTACCATGGCCCTGTCCCCAGAGCCCAGGTGGCCCCAAGACGGGGTGTCCCCTGAGTAACAGCACTGCTCGGAGAGGGACACGGTCAGAGCCGCTGGGACCCTCGGGCACACCCGCCCGTCACCGCTGCCTCGGCACGGGCAGGACATGGTCCAATTAGAGGTGACAGCGGTGCCCGGGGCCAGCGGCCGCCTCCGGAGTGGCCGTGCTGGGATCAGGGGATGGGAGCCCTGGGGACACAGAGTGACCCTGGGGACAGCTAGGGGCTGGGTGTCCTCCTGGCTGTATGTGTGTGTCCTAGGGGTGTGTGTGTCCCCGAGAATGAGTGTTCCCCAGGTGTGTGTGTGTGTGTGTCCCCAGGTGTATGTCTGTGTCATGGGGCTGTGTGTCCCTCACATGTGTGTGTGTGTGTGTTACGGGGGTGTGCATGTCCCCACGTGTGTGTGTTCCATATGTGTGTGTTTGTTCCAGATGTGTGTGTGTTCCCGGTATGTGTGTGTGTTCCAGGTGTGCTCCCTCCCCCAGCTCTGTGCGTGTGTCCCAAGCCCCGGCGGATCCCGCCGCTGTCCCCCAGCACCGATCCCGGCTGGAGGCGGCGGCGGGGCCGGGCTGGATCGCAGCTTCGAGAAGAAGGTCCCCGAGAACGGTGCGGCCTAAGCGCAACCAGGGGACCCTCCCGGACCCTCCGGAACCTCCGGAACCTCCGGAACCTCCCAAGGAGCTCCGGGACCTTCCAAGGCCCACCTGGACCCCTGGAAACTTCCAGGACCCCCCGGGACCTTCCAGGATCCCCCGGGACCCCCGGGACCTTCCAGGACCTCCCGGGACTCCCGGGACCCCCGGGACCTTCCAGGACCCCCCGGGACCTCCCACGCTCCGCCGCCGCCGGGCTCGGAGCTGCTGCTGCTGCTGCCGCCGGCAGGGGGCGCAGGCGGCGACGAGACCGCAGCGCCCATGGCGCCTCGCGAGGGGCTCGGGACTACAACCCCCATGAGGCACCAGGCAGCACGCAGCCAATGGGAGCCCGAAAGCGGCGCGAAGCCACTCAGGGAGCAGGGCGGGGCCTCGCGGGCAATTTAAAGTCAGCGCGGGGGCCGGGAACCCGCCTGGAGCGGAGGGGCCGGGGCCGGGGCCGGGGCCGGGCCGCTCCCGCCCCGGTGCCGGGTGCCCGGTGCCGGGTGCCCTGAGTGGATGCAGTGCCCTGTGCGAGGGGTTTTGTGGCCCCAGAGGAGGTGCAGGTACAGTGAGGAGGCCGTGGCTGAAGAGGGCGTCAGGTTGTGAGGGGCTGAGGGGGCGGTGCCACCGCTATGGCCTGAATAGTTACAGGAGCGGCTTGGAGCCGGGGCGCCTCTCCCTGCGGATCGCCCTGGATCCCCTTCCCAGGAGGCTCCGTGGGCACCGCGGCATTCCCGAGGGAGCGGCTCCTTCCCCGGGGTTTGTGCCCAGCGGCCCGGCACGGGCGGCCTGGGAGCTGCACAGGAGATCTGCCGTGGAAGTGCCTCGGGAAGGAATCACCGCGCACTGAGCACAGTGTCCAGCACACGGTACAGCCCAGGATTGTAAACATTTCCCACTGCATCCTTCAAAATGGTTAAAGGACTCCGGGCTCGCTGTGTCCCCGCCCAGCCCGGCTCAGAGCCTGCTCCCCCGGCCCGCAGCAGTGCAGGCACAGCCCGGCCCGTACCCGACCCACTGCAGTAACTGCCCCAGAATGCTGCACCACGGAGAGACTCAGACCCACTCTAAGAACTGATGTGGAATCTGCTCAGGAAATTTTAACGTTCTCCCTCTGTTTCCTCCCTGCTTCAAGGATCCCAGGTGAACTCATCCAGCATCAGCAGTTGGGTGCTTGGAGAAGGAAGGTGGGCTGGGGTCCCATTTGGGTCAGCAATTGTTCAGGAAACTTTCTGGCCATCCATCCATCCATCCATCCATCCATCCATCCATCCATCCCAGAGCCCCTCTGGCAGTCACATTCCTGCCCCTCCAGACTGGCACTGCTGGGACCGAAGCCCCTTCACAGCAGCAGCTCCAGAGATTCCTCAACAGGAATTCCTCCCTTGATCTTAATGGGGCATTCCTGATAATATACTCAAAGGGAAAAAGCTTCACTGCCCTGACACACATTATTACTGCAGTTACCAAACAACAAAATTAGGGTCAACAGGGTTGCCATAGGCCAGAAAGGATTATCAACATAAAATCACAAAAAAGGGTTGATTGTTCCCTACATATTGATGTACTGGGTCAGTCACTGGTGCTGGCAGTTGGATGTTTGGAGAAGGAAGGTGACCTGGGGTCCCATCTGGGTCAGAAACTGTTCAGGAAATTTCCCTGTCATCCATCCTGGAGCTGCTCTGGCAGCTGCACTCCCACCCCAGACTGGCACTGGGGCCAAGGCCCTCAGCAGTGCCCTGGGGTCCCTGCTGGCTCCCCCACACCCCATCCCACAGTTGCTCCTGGGTTCCTCTGCAGCTCAGCCCCAGGGCTCCCAGAGAGCAGTCCCAGACTCTGCTTCCTTTAAGGAATTTTATCGTGCTGCAGCAGCTCAGTAACAGCTTGAGATGGAGCCTCTGGGGAGGGACCCCAACATTGAACCTCCCAGGTTTCCATCCCCTCCTGGCAGTGGGGTCTTCCTGCTGAGCCATCCTCTCCTGCTGTGTCCGAGTGCCCGGTTACCTGCCTGGCACTGCCCCAAAGGGCCCAGGGCCACTTGCTGGGGGCTCTGGCCATTTTCCCCACAGAGCTCAGGGCCCTGGGCCCTTTGGGGCAGTGCCACGTCCTGGCCACTTGCTGGGGGCTCTGGCCATTTTCCCCACAGAGCTCACCCTGCAGCTCCCAGGGCAGCTGTCCCGCCAGCTTTCTGCACTAAATGTGCTCCTCAACATGAGGGGCTGTCATTACACACCCCAAACTATGACACAGCAACACCCCCAGACACCCTAATCCTGCCCTGCTTTTGGGGGGCTGCACCCCAGCCCGGAGCTGGCTCTGCTGCCACTGCTGGGTCAGGAGAGACAGGCTGCGTGGGGACACTGCAGGGGACACACACCACGGGAGTGGCTCCATCCTTCCCCCTCCCCTCTCTAATCCACAGCTGCACCCTCTGCCTGGAGCTTCCTGCATCCCCTTCAAAAACCCAGCCCACGGTGCCACAGGACATCCTCATCCCCGAGCTGGGGGACACGGCTGTGAGGGCTGGGGGATGAGCTGCAGCTAGAAGGCTGTGAGCAGTGGCCCCTGTCCTGGGGGAGGCTGGTGACCAGGGTGTCCCTGAGAGCTCTGGGTGGCACCGGGGCTCTGCAGTCCCTTCCTCACTGACACAGACAGTGGCTCAAGGCCACCCTCAGCGTGTTCACAAAGCTGACACGAAGCTGCGGTGCAGGTGACATCCAGGGGGACCTGGCCAAACTCGACAAGTGGGACCAAGAGAACATGGTGAAGTTCAATAAAGCCAAGGGAAGGGGCTGCACCTGAGCAGGGACAGTCCCAGGCAGCAGCATAGAGTAGGAGAAGAGCTGAGAGCTGCCCTGCAGAGGACTGGGGGGTTCCGGTGGAGGAAAAGCTGCACCCGAGCCAACAGCGAGGGCTGAACACATCCTGGGCTGCAGCAGAAGGAGTGGCCAGAGGAGGGTGAGAGAGGGGACGCTGCCCCTCCGCTCTGCGGAGCTGTAACGAGATCACCTCTTATGGTCGCGTCCAGCCCAAACCCCTCAGTGACGCGTGGTCCCACGGTAATGAATCCTCGGGGGCTCCGTTGTTCCCAGCACGGCTCCATGGCCACCAGCGGCACAGCGACAACGTTCCAGGGCTGCCAGGCACCGGCGGATCCCCGAGTGACAGCGGCCGGGCTGTCCCTCCCGGCCGCGCTGGCCCCGCTCAGCCGCGCTCCGGTCGCTGCTCCGCTCTCGGCGCGGGCGAAGGCCGCTCTCGGTGACCGAGGCTGTGCCTCGTCCCTCGCACGGCAATGTCGACCCCACTCGTGGGTGCTGCCGCCCCCGCGGGGGACGCGGTGGCTGGGTCAGTTCTGCGGGGCGCGGGAGGGGCGGGACAGGGACACGGGGGACCGCTCGGGAGGGAGGCCGGGCTGTGGGAGGGGGCTCTGAGCGGACCTAAGGAGGGATAGGGGGGTCGAAAGAATAATAAAGTACTGGAATGCTCTTCCCAAGGAGGTGGTAGAATCACCATCTCTGAATGTGTTTAAAAAAAGACTGGACTTGGTGCGACAGTCTGGTTGAGGTGTTAGGGCATGGGTTGGACTCGATGATCTTAGAGGTCCCTTCCAACCTCATTATTCTGTGATTCTGTCGTGAGAGGGGCTGTGGGGGCCAAAATGCGGGGATGCTGAGTGGGCTGGAAGGAGGATGTTGGGACCCTTGGGGAGGCTGTGGGAGGGGGCTGTGTCTCCAAGGGATTTAGGGTCTTTGGGGAGTCTGTGGGGGTCCGGGGGAGCAGTAGGAGCATGAAGGGGTTTCTAGGGTCGTTTGGGATCCAAAGAGACCTGAAGAGAGGCCAAGGTTTTGGGAGAGCCTGTGGGAGCCAGAAGGGGGTTCAGGCTCAGGGGGGGCTCCAAAGGGGCACCGGGCGGGACTGGCACAGGGAGGGGGTGGCCGCAGACCACGGGGAGGGGGGAAGGCTCTGAGACCTCGCCCAGCCTGGGGATCTCTCTCCCCCTCTGCACCCTCCAGCTGAACCTATCCCCCCCAGACCACAAGAGGACCCGGATCAGTGGATCGGGAGCCCTGTCCCCGAGCAGCCCGATGCCCCAGCCCCAGGTGCCTGCTGGGGGGCAGAGCCCGCGCCCCAGGAGGGCTCCGTGACCGTGGTGCTGCGTGTGAGACCCCCCAACCCCCGGGAGCGAGCTGCGCCCGCCGTCCTGCACGTCCTGAACGAGCACACCGTGCGGTTCAGCTCCGAGGAGCCCGGCGGCCCCGGCGGCACCACACCGCCCGGCCGCAGCCCCGGCCGCCGCCGCAGGAACCTCGAATTTGAGTTCGACCACGTTTTCGACGAGCGGGCCACGCAGGAGGAGGTGTTCCAGCACACCACGCTGCCTCTGCTGGACACCCTCCTCGCTGGCTACAACTGCTCCGGTAAGTCCTGGCACACACCCCTGATCCGTGTAGGAGCTCCTGCTCCATCCCCTCCCATGCTGGGTGGGCTCAGCAGAGCCCCGAATTTAATTTGGGAACCCTCATGCATCTCTGGGAATGGGGTGACACAGCAGCAACCCAAAACCACACAGCCTGATGGGTGTTGGTTCCATATCGATGCATGGGCGACCCCCGACGAAGGGGAGAGAAAATGATGCATCTGACTCCATCATCAGAAGGCTAAATAATTACTTTATTATTCTATACTATGTACATTATATCTAAACTGAATCTGCCTTGCACTCACCCTTGCTCACAACTGCACAGAGCTGCACTCATCTCTGATTCTCTCGTGACTGTCTCGTGACAGTCCCGACACACACACACACTTCTTGGCCCTGACAGGCCAAGGGAACAAAACATCCTCACTTTGGGTAAACAATCTCAATATTGCATTCTACTTTGGCGCAGCAAGTGAGATAAGAATTATGTTTTCCTTTTTCTCTGCTTGTCTCACAATTTCTCTATGTTCAGAGAGCATGTGAACACCACAGTTCCAGCAGTGCTTGGCACTCAGGGAGATGGGGTGCAGAGGATGGATATGGGCGTTGGGGTGGAGGTGAGGCTGGGCAGGAGCTGGCCAGGCATTTTGAGGAACAAGGAACTTGCTCGTCTGTCCGGGTCAGGAAGGATGGGAAGAAATGTGGTGGATGCATGGAGAAAAAGCCCCTTGGCTTTGTCATCCCTTTCCAGGCTGAATGGCTCCGTAGAGCTGGGTCTGACAGGTCCTGGACAGCTCCCACAGCCCCTCGCTGCTGCTGCTGCAGCCCCCGAGCCATTCCCAGCATTGCGTGCCACAAGCACATTTGTGGGAAGAGGCCAGCACTCCCCAGGCCCTCCCTGCACCAGGTGCTCAGACCAGGGGATGCTGTTCCAGCTCCTGGTGGTTCCTGAGAGCCACTGAAGAGCTGCCCTTGTCCCCAGGCCCCAGCACTGAGTGCTGCCGTCGGGAGGAGGGCTGAGGCTCCAGATCAGTGTGTCCCACCCTGATGGGGGGCTTCAGAGGAGGTGCTGGAAGATGGGGGTAAAAGAGAGGAAGCAGAAATGCCTCGTGGGGAGAGGGTCAGAGGTGACCTGAGCATGGGAGCAGTGCTCATCAGGAGACTCCTTCTGTCCCTGCTGTATTAGAGAGGCTGAAAACAGGGAGAAAAATTGCCCTGAGAAGCAGTGGGGAAGGTTATGAGTTTTACCTTGTGTCTTATCTGTGTGGGAAGCTCCTCTCCTCTCCTCTCCTCTCCTCTCCTCTCCTCTCCCTCTCCCTCTCCCTCTCCCTCTCCCTCTCCTCTTCCCCTCCCCCTCCCTCTCCTCTTTTGGACCCTTCTGCTGCACCAGGTGAGTACTGATAGATCATCTCACTACCCACCCTTCTCCTTCCAGTGTTTGCCTATGGTGCTTCAGGAGTTGGGAAGACCCACACCATGATGGGCTCCAAGACCACTCCTGGCATTGTGCATCTGGCCACGGTGGAGCTCTACAGGAGGCTCCAGGCCATGAAGGACAAGAGCTGGGAGGTCCTGGTCTCCTACCTGCAGGTTTGCTGTGGCCCAGTGTGTTCCCTCCTTCCTCAGAATCCCCAGGAAGAGATTTGGGGTTGATCCAGAGCCACCCTCAGGGCGCCTGCAGTGTCCCCTGCCTGGGGTTGGCAGGGCAGCCTGACTGGAAGCAGGATCACCCACTGGGTGGAGAGAAGTGTTGCTGCTGCTTCCTGCCAGCTGGAGCTGGGGGCTTTTCTCTCCCTTGCTGTGCTCCACAGAGCAGTGAGGGCTTCCTGGCTGTTAGAGCTGGAGAGGAGCAGGGTTGGGGGAATGGCCCAGCAAAGCTCTGGGAGCTGGCCCTGCCTTCTGAGCCCCATCAGTTGCTCCCAGTGGAATGAAGTCCCAGAGGTGGAGTCAGGGGGAACCCCTGGCTGTGCCAGGTCCTGCAGGGGTACCCAGCTCTTCTCCCAGAGAATCAAACCTCAGCCTGACCTCGATTTCCTGCTCCAGGTGTACAAAGAGCGTGTCTATGACCTGCTGAAGCCACAGGGCCCACTGAACGTCTGGGAGCAGCCCGGGAAAGGAGCCGTGGCACAGGGCCTCTCCTTCCACCAGGTCTGGGCACAAAAAAGGCACAAGGGCTGGGACAGACTCATCTGCACCCGTGCTGAGAGCAGCTGGGAGTCCTGGGGACACGGGCTGGGGAGGTCCCAGGTGCCTCCTGGCTCCTGGCTGGCAGCAGACGTGGCCCCGAGCTGCCAGGGGCCCGCAGAGCTGCCGGGAGCCCCGGCCCCACTGCCCGGGGCTGCTCGGCCTCGGGGTGCCCGGCTGCCGTGCCCAGGTGCTGATGCAGCCCCTGCCCGCTCTCCCCCAGCCCACGTCACCAGAGCAGCTCCTGCACATGTTGGCCAAAGGCAACAAAAACCGGGCACAGCGTCCCACCAAGGCCAACGCCGCCTCCTCCCGCTCCCACGCCATCTTCCAGGTGAGGGCTGCTGCCTCTGGGATCGCCCCCACTGCTGCTGCAAACGCCGCTGAAAACACACCTGCACACCTGTGCCAGGACCAGCATCCCAGGGCTGTCCCCCTCAGCCCTGAGCTGGGAACGTTGCTCCCCAGGGGCTCTGTTCATGTGCTCTCTGCTGTCTGGGTGCAAAGCTACCTGTGGGTTTCAGTTCCAGCCAGGCCCTTCCCGAATTCCAGGGCTGTCACAGCTGCCTGGGCAGACGGAGGCTCTGGCTGTCACTTCAGCCTGAGCCTGGTACCTCGCTCCTTGCTGCTGGCAGGGGAGCAGCCCAGGTGTCTGCAAGACTTTCCAGTCCCTCTGAGGACCTGCCCAGCCATACCCCTCTCTATCATTGAGTGTGGGAGATGCTGATTGTTCCCATAGCTGTCCCTCCCTGCCAGATCCCTTCCCTGGCTCTGCTCCTTGTGTCATCACCAGGTGTTTGGCTCATCCTCCCATGCCAGGTTCCTTTCCTCCTCCTGCCTCATCTCCCCACAAGATTGCCTGGCTCTTGCCCTGAAAGCACAGAGCCCTGTGCCCCAGAGCTCCCGTGTGGAGCCAGTCTCAGCCCCCTCTGCCCTCGCAGATCCAGGTGAAGCAGTGGGACCCCACCGGGGACCTGCGCGTGGCCAAGCTGAGCTTCATCGACCTGGCGGGCTCGGAGCGAGCCTGGGAAACGCCGGGCCGGGGAGAGGGGCTGTGGGAGGGCACCAGCATCAACCGCTCGCTGCTGGCCTTCAAAAGCGTCGTCCGTGCTCTGGCCGGAGCCAAGGTGAGTCTGGCTCCCCGGGACGGCTCCCGGAGGGTGTCCCCAGGCCCGGAGCTGAGCGGAGCCTCGCTGTCTCGGGACAGGGCGGGCAGAGCCACGTGCCGTTCCGGGACAGCAAACTGACGCTGCTGCTGAAGGACTCGCTGGTCGGCAGCTTCCGCAGCACCGTGATCGCGGCCGTGAGCCCCACGGCGAGCGCCGGCCCCGACACCTACAGCACGCTGCGCTTCGCCAGCCGGGCCAGGCACATCCTGCTGCTGGTGAGCACCGGGCGGGTCCTGCCGGGGCTCGGGAGCTGCCGGCTGCGGGCAGGAGGGCGCGTGGTGGGGTGCATTGGTGGGTGCCTCGCGTGTCCCGTGGGAATCTCCCAGCCCAGGGGTGAGCCGCGGGCAGGAGCTGCTGATGGAGCTTCAGCAGTGTGTGCCTGCTCTGCTGCTAAAGCTGCTCAGCCCAGACCCCGCAGGGCTTTTGCCCATGGCAGCAGGTCTCTGGGCACAGATCGTGTCCCCTGCGGCCACCCGGGGGCCCTGGAGCCTGGAGGAGGCTGAGGAGCTGCCCTGCTCCAGCCCCGGAGATGGGTCTGTGCTGCACCGTTGTGTTTAACCACTGCCTCATCCCAGTCCCCGCAGGACACCGGGATATCTCCCTGCAGCTCCAGAACAGACTCCCTGCCCGATCTGCAGCTCCAGACCAGGACACCAAGTCCCCTTCAGCAGGACCTGCAGGCGCAGAAGTGAGTGTCCTTGTGTCCTCCCTGTGTCCCACTGCCTCCTCTTGGCCTGGGCAGACTGGGTTGGATGGATGTGGGACCAGGGCTGAGCTTGGAGATGCTGGCCTGTCTCTGGGTCCCTTGTCACCCACAGGTGCACACACACCTCACAGCTCAGGCTCTGCAGGAGGGGATTTACAGCTTGGGAATGTCCCATATTCCAAGTTTGACACTCTTACCCTAAATCTCTACTCACAGCCTCTGCCCTGATGAAATTACTGTGAAGACAAAGGAAGTGGAGGAGCCCAAAGGGCTGAAGGAGTCCACAGGGATGGAGGAGCCCAAAGGGCTGAAGGAGTCCACAGGGACGGAGGAGCCAACAGGGACGGAGGAGCCCAAAGAGATGGAGGAACCCACAGGGCTGGAGGAGCCCAAAGGGCTGGAGGAGCCCGAAGGGATGGAGGAGTTCATAGGGCTGGAGGAGTCCACAGGGATGGAGGAGACCACAAGGATGGAGGAGTTCAAAGGGCTGGAGGAGTCCACAAGGATGGAGGAGACCACAGGGATGGAGGAACCCACAGGGCTGGAGGAGTCCATAGGGCTGGAGGAGATCACAGGGATGGAGAAGGCCACAGGACTGGAGGAAGCTGCACCTCCCCATAGCCCCGCAGAGCCCAGCGAGGCTGCTCCAGCCCCGGGAATGCAGCTGAGCTGTGCAGGTGAGGATTTGGGATGGGGACAGTGGAGATTGGCCTCTCTTCTGTGTCTCGATGGGGGCTGGAGGAGCCTGCAGTGGGACACAGCTCCTGGCCGCGGTGGACACGGGGCAGAGAACGGGCGTGTCCCCAGGTGTCACCAAGCGGGTCGTCCCCGGCGTGGCTCCGGCCTTGCTGTGCAGAGCGATCCGAGCTCGGCAGCACCTTGGGCAGGGGCCGGGAGCAGCCCTGGGCTCCGGGGGGAGCTCAGCTCGTGTGTGCGAGGCAGCTCCCACGGGAGGGATGTCCCTGCCCCAGGAGCCCAAAGCAGCAGCTCTGAGCCGCGTTTCTCCCGTCTCCGTTATTCCTCCCTGATTCCCTTGCCTGAGCCAGTCGGGATGGAGCCTCAGCCGGCTCTGTGCAGGGCTGAGCTCTTCCTCCTCATCCTCCGTGCCAGGCGCGGTCCTGGCAGCGGAGCTGTGGTTCTGCAGACCCCGTTTTCCGGGGACAGCGCAGGCACTGCCCGGGGTGCTCGCTGTGGGACTGGCCCGGCGCCTGTGCCGGCTCTTTTCCTCGGGGCTGGATGCGCTTTGATGGAGCAGCGGCTGGCAAAGGGCTGCTGCGGGGCTGGGAGGGCAGGTCTGCACTGAGCTGGGGGCACACGGGGTGCCCCGGGGGTTGGGGGTGCTCCCGAGCTGCAGACACGGAGGTGACTGTTTCTTCTTTGCTCTTTTAGCCGAGGCTCCTGTCACCATGCCAGATCCCCCTGTGCCCAGCACCTACCCGGAATGCTCCCGGGAGCTCTCTCCGTGCTCCAGTCCCAAGCCGATATCTCTCTGGCCGGTTAAGAGGATGCTCGACTCGAGCAGCGATTCCCAAGCAGAAAATTCCCTCAGCTCCCGAACACGGAGGAAGCGCCAGCGGAGTTGTGGGAAGGCAGCAGAGACTCCCCGGGCAGCGCAGAGCCCCGGGCAGAGCTCCTCTGAGTCCCCGGAGCCCCGCTGTGTCAGCCGCCAGCCCTCCCCGCCGCCGGGCACCCAAAGCCCCGGCACCCAAAGCCCTGGCACCCCGCCACCAGCGGCTGCACGGACCCCCAGCCCCCTGCCCGGGCCGGCTCCAGAGCTGCTTCCCCCAAGCGCCGAGCAGCAGCAGCAGCAGGCAGAGCTCGGGGCAGCCCTCCCGCGCTCACCTCCCAGCACCTCTCCCAGCGTCCAAACTCCAAAGTGCAGTTCCTCTGTGCCTCTGTGCTCCTCCAGCAGCCCCGCGAGCATCCCCTCCTGCCCCGCGGTGCCCTTCTGGCCATGGTTCCAGCTGCGTGCCCGCGTTTGTGCTCCCTCCGTTGGCTCCGTCCTGTACGTGTGTTTGCAGGTTATGGGTGGGTTTAGGAAATAAGTTACTGTGTTTTTAATAAATTGTTCTGTCCCAAATCCAAGGGCCAACACGTGGCTGTTCTCTCCTGCCTCCTCCTCGTGTGGGGAGCCTGGAAAAGGTTCTGGCTCGGGGCTTGGGCTCCAACCCCCTTCTCCATCACCCCAGGGCCTCTGCTGAGTGTCCCAGAGTGCAGGTGAGGGCTGGGGGGGGCAATGGCCATGGCCATCCATGACAACAGCCCAGTCAGGTGAGCTGTCCCGCTGTCATTGCAGTGGGATGATGGCCCTGCCACTGCACACTCACGTTTCTTGTTCTTGTTTGTTCCCCATGCTGTGACTGTTCATGCCCAGGCACTTCAGAGAGGGGAATCAAGAAACCGTGTGGGGTGTGAGAGGTTCCACAGCCACACACAGCACTGATGGGGTTTGCCCTGTGATTCTCATCTCGGGCCAAGGAACATCAGGCTGCACGGGCTGGCCTGGTCTCCTCCCTAGAAAGAAGTAATGGCACAAATATTGCCCCTTTGGAACCCACCCCCCAGGCCTTTAAATAGTTTTTCTATTTAAAACCCCTCTCATCAGATAGGCCAGCCCATGGCTGAAGGTTCTCTTCGACCTAATCATTAAAGCAGAACCCACTGCTCCAAAGTGAATACTTTCCCAATGGCACAGCCATGAAGATGTTGATCTGCACTAGAGATCCTCTCTAAGTTCCCACCCAACTCAAACCATGATGAGATGTTGGGGGTTCCAGCACAGCTCCATTGTTGCCAGGCACGTGGGTGACAACGCTCCAGAGCTGCTTTCAGAGTGGGTGACAGAGGCTGGGCTGTTTCAGAGCATGTTTCAGGATGCTCCCAGCAGATCCCTGCCTGGGCTGTGTGAGTTCTGCTGGGCTAGAGAGCACCTGGAGTGATGGGGACGAGGCTGCTGGGAGCCACCATTCTCCTGTCCCTGGTGGACGCTCTCCAGGCCTTTGCCATTGAGAAGAAAGGGGATGTGTTCAAGAAGACGGCGTGTCCCGCCTTCCTGGTATTCGAGAGCGTCGCGTACTTGGCGGACATGACCTTCGAGCTGCCCTGCAAGTGCAAGCCCGAGGAGATCTCCTCTGTGGTCTGGTACTTCCAGAAGAACCTGCACAGCCACGAAACCACGGTGCTGACAGACTTCAACGGAACCGTGATTGTGGATTCCAGCGACATCCGCGTGGGCAGCGACCTCCTGAAGCGCTTCAGCATCCGCATGTTCAGCCTGATCGTGTTCCGAGCCCAGGTGAGGGACTCGGGCCATTACCTGTGCGGCACCAAGGAAGGGCTCTTCTTCTACGGCTACGACGTGGACGTGCAGCCCACCAGGCACATCACGGTGGCTTTTCTGGATAACGACCAGCACGTCCAGGAGGACTACACAGAGAAGGATTTCACCCTCTTCACCATGTTCTGGGACTGGACCAGCTGTGACCGCTGCGGGGTGCGGGGCGAGCAGCGGCGCATCGGGCTCTGCTACGTGCAGAGCGGCCAGCTGAAGCCCCGCTACCGCACGACGCTGCCCAACGTCACCTCCTGCGGCTCCAGGGCTGTGCCTGCACACTTCGGGAGCCTCATGCACCTCCGGAACCCCGAAGTGGCCATCAGGAGCTGCCTGGCCCCTTGCCCGGAGAAGGAAGCCCCCAAGGAGGGCGTGCAGTCCATCTCCAACATCGTTTACAAGATGGGCAAGAAGCCCGAGCTGCCCCACGTCCCCATCCAGTACCACAACCAGCTCCCCAAAACTGACCTGGTGATCTCGTGCCCGGGAGCGCGGCCAGAGCACGCCGTGGCCTGGGACAAGGGCTCCGTCCGCCTCTACCGCTCCTACTACCTGCTGGGGGTCCGGAAGCACATGAGGCTCTTCATTGACCACGGGAACCACCTGCACATCCAGCGAGTGCGCAGCAGGGACAAAGCCACCTACTTCTGCTGGCGGGAGGGCGAGCTGGTGGCCGGCTTCCAGCTCAGTGTCACCTTCCAGCCCCGGCGCCAGCGGAGCCCCAGCGACCCCGAGTCAATCTTCGTCATGAGGGCTGTGGGCATCAGCTTTGCCATCGTCATCGGCATCTTCTTCCTCATCCACCTGTCCCGCTGCAGCTCGCAGGTGTTCAGGAAAGCGGACAAGCCATAGCAGCTCCCCCACAGGACACACCTTGGATCACCCTGGCACAGGAAATTTCCAATGTGAAGACCATTTTTGTATATTTTAGTTTCAACATTTTTTTCAATGTTTGGTTTTGACTTTTTGAAGTGAAAGTTTTTTGGGTTTCTTTTTTGTTCAAATAATCTGGCAATTTTCTTCAGAACTGTCTCTGCTTTTGAGGTGTTCTTAACTCACCCAACTCAGCACAGAATTGGGAGTTAGTATTTGTGCCTGACAGAGTTATCTTATACATCCCCCAAAGGTGGTGGCATCTCTGCAGGGTTTCAGCAGGGAGCAGGATGTGCCCTCCAGACTCATCTCCTTTGTTTGAGGACATGACTTGAGGATTTCAACATTCCCAAGACAAATCCTGCTGTCCAGGAGGGCAACTGTGGGTCCCAGTGATGCTCTGGCACTTGAACCATGTCGATGATGGTGAGACAAACACCTGGTGAGGACATGAGAAGCAAAGTCAGGGAGGGACAGAGATATGGAAAACAATCTGCATCTCCCACACTCAGGGATGGAGCAGGGTACAGCTGGTTGGGTCCTTGAAGGGCAAGAAACCCACCCAAATCCCCAGCATGAGGCAGGAGGGCTCACACACAGAGGCAGCTCCAGGCCTGACTCTCCCTGAGGACTTTGTCACAAAACTCAGCCCTCAGACAGAGCCTGACCGTGTCCCCAGGGTGGCACCAGACAGGGCTGTGGGTGCCAAGCCCAGGGCTGGTGCAGGCCAAGGGGAACACAGCCACCAAGACTCACCTGGCAGCACTGCTCCGTGCCTTCCCCTCTGAATCCCTAAAAATATCCCAGTAGAACCCAAAGTACTTCCCCCACTGCCCTGTAACCCCCTCTTCCCCCGCCCCCCAGGCTTAACCCCTGCAGGGCCAGAGGCTCTGCAGCCGTGGTTTGCTTGCTGGGAGGCAGAGCTGGCAGCAGGAAGGGCAGAATTCCAGCACAGCTCAGGGATTTGTGCAGGCAGGAATCCAGGAGCCACCAAAGAGCCCAGCTGGGAGCTGGCTGGAAAAGCACACAGACACCTGGGCTGCTCCCCTGCCAGCAGCAAGGAGCGAGGTACCAGGCTCAGGCTGAAGTGACAGCCAGAGCCTCCATCTGCCCAGGCAGCCGTGACAGCCCTGGAATTCGGGAAGGGCCTGGCTGGAACTGAAACCCACAGGTAGCTTTGCACCCAGACAGCAGAGAGCACATGAACAGAGCCCCTGGGGAGCAACGTTCCCAGCTCAGGGCTGAGGGGGACAGCCCTGGGATGCTGGTCCTGGCACAGGTGTGCAGGTGTGTTTTCAGCGGCGTTTGCAGCAGCAGTGGGGGCGATCCCAGAGGCAGCAGCCCTCACCTGGAAGATGGCGTGGGAGCGGGAGGAGGCGGCGTTGGCCTTGGTGGGACGCTGTGCCCGGTTTTTGTTGCCTTTGGCCAACATGTGCAGGAGCTGCTCTGGTGACGTGGGCTGGGGGAGAGCGGGCAGGGGCTGCATCAGCACCTGGGCACGGCAGCCGGGCACCCCGAGGCCGAGCAGCCCCGGGCAGTGGGGCCGGGGCTCCCGGCAGCTCTGCGGGCCCCTGGCAGCTCAGGGCCACGTCTGCTGCCAGCCAGGAGCCAGGAGGCACCTGGGACCTCCCCAGCCCGTGTCCCCAGGACTCCCAGCTGCTCTCAGCACGGGTGCAGGCACAGAACAGTTTCAGGCTGTGTGGTTTGGGGTTGCTGTTGTGTCTCCCCATTCCCACAGGGCTGCTGGAGGACACGGCTCCAGTACCAATGTCTGGGTCCTCGTGCACTCCTTGAGCTGGGGCTGGGTTCAGCTGGAGGGTGCAGTGGGAGACAGAGATCCGCAGCTGGGAGAGGCCTCAGAGACTCTCCCTGGGCTCTGCTTCCCACCCCCTCCCTGTGCCAACCCTGGCCAGCGCCCCCTTAGAGCCCCCTGTGAGCCTGAACCCCCTTCAGGCTCCCACAGCCTCCCCTAAAACACAACCTGACACGCCCTAAAACCACAGCTTCCCCAGTTATTTGAGAGCCATTTTTGGCTCCCAAAGCCCCTCTCCCAGCTCCCCTTTGGGCTCCCACAGGACTCCCCATGAGGGGAGCAGGGGTTCAGGAGCAGTCCCCAGCTGAGCTGGCCTGAAAAGGGCACTTGCTCTGGACTTGGGCTCCATTGTGGCTTCCCCCATCTCCATCATCCCGGGGTCCTGGGGGGCCTCTGCACCCTCTTGTGGGCCGGGGGAGCTCTGGGCACCCTGCTCAGTGTCCCACAGTGCAGGTGAGGGCTGGGGGAGCCACCTGCCCTCCTGGGACCTGACACTCTGTATAGTGACAGGGGAAAAGGTTTTGTTCTGTATTCTGTTCTGTATTTGTCCTGCTCTGGTTTTGTTCTGTATTTTGTTCTGTATTTATTTCCCCGCTGCTCCAACCCCACCACTGCCACCCCTGTGACACCCCCACCGTGGGACAGAGACCCCCAAGCACCCAACCCAGGGACCACTGTGATCCCTTTTCCTGCCGTGCCGGGGCACATCTGGCGCTGTCACACCTGGCTCCCTGCACCGGCTCCTCAGAGCCGCCCTCGGCGGTGCCCTCGGTGGCAGGAGCGGGGCCGGTGCCGGGGCAGCCCCGGGCGCTGCTGTCCCGCGGGGCCGGGGCCAGCGGCTCCTTCCCTGCCCGGCTGGTCTCGCCTTTGAGCCTGGAAGCTTCCAATTAAAACTGCCAGCCCCGTTGGTTTGTCTCATTAGGGGGGCCGGGGAAGAGGAGGAGGAGGAGGAGGAGGAGGAGGAGGGGAGCCCCTCTCTGCCTCCCGCCGCTGCCGGCAGCGCCGCTCCCCGTGCTTTGGCGGCGCTGCGCGGGAGCCGGGAGAGAATCGATCCCCGGGGAGCAGCGGGTGCCCACACAGGACCCCAAAGGTCCCCAGCCCCCGCTCTGTGCCCCCTCCACCCCAGTGCCCCAGGGAGGGGGGTGTCCTGTCAGCAGAGCTGTCACACAGCACGTGTCTCCAGAGATGCCACTGCTGTCTGGGGACACAAGAGTCACTGGGGATGTGAACGTGCCCCAAACCTGGAATTTTTGTGGGCACAACGCCTGGTGACACCGGCACAGGACAGCCGGGGGAGCACCGGGCTGGCTGGAGGCTTCTGGGGGTTACAGAAGGAGATGGGAGCTGTCCCAGTCCCACCAGTCTCACCAGTATGGTCCCTGCTGGCCCTGGGTCTCCCCAGACTGCACCCACAGGGACGCAGCCATTGCCACAGCCCTCCCCACTGGCCACTGTGGGTGGTGGTGGCCGTGGTCCAGCGGGGTGTCCCTGTCCCACGGCAGCCAAGAGCCTTTCCCGGCCATCGGCTGCCATCTACTGCCAGCGGCGGGGCCAGCCCCTGTCCCTGTCCCCGTTCCTGTCCTTGTCCCTGCCCCTGTCCCTGTTCCCGTCCCTTTCCCTGTTCCCGTCCCATCCCTGTCCCCGTCCCTGTCCTCGTTCCTGTCCTTGTCCCTGCCCCTGCAGCAGAGTCCCAGGGACACCCCTGTCCCCTGCTTCACCTCGGCTGCCTCTCGGGGCACCCACCCGGTGCCACTACGTGTCGCTCATGTCCCCGTGTCCCCAGCACACCCCCATCCCCTCCCCGGGCGGTGCCCAAGTCCCCTCCATGCCCCAGTTTGTGGCCATTACTGGGACTGTGACTGGGAGGGACGGGGCTGGCGCTGGCCCCGTGCCCTGGATCAGCCCCCGCGCTTCCCGGCAGGGCCGTGCCCTGGCACAAAGGCTCCTCCCGGCTGTGCCACGGCTCTGGCTCCGCACAAAACCCCTTTCAGCCGCTGCGGAAAGCCCCTGGCAGTCCCCGCCGTGTGCCACCGGGGGCAAAAGGCCCCCCAGACTCCGTGCATGTGTGCCAGTGCCACGGGCATGCACACTCAGCTCTGTGGGGTCAACACCTTCCCACGGGGACCCTGAAACATTGGGGACGGGGACCGGGGCTCCAGGGCCACCAGCCAGTGCTTCCACAGGCCCATTGGGATGGGGACTTAGAGGCTCCAGTCACCCAATTAGCAGCTGGTCTTCATGAGCAGCACCCCCAGTGTCCCATGTACCGCGCCCAGCCTGGCACCAGCTCCCACCCACGGGTCCCGTGGCCAGCGCTGTGTCCCCACCCTGGCGCGATCCCCAGCCCAGGAGCGGGGGCAGCGCTGGGCAGGGGCCGTGCCTCGGTGCCCGGGCTGGCTGCCAGGGCACAGCCGCCCCCGCGGGCGCCAGAGCCGGCTCCGTGCCCGCCCGCTGGCTCCGGGCCGGGGGCAGCGCCGGGCAGCCGGCGGCACGGGGGCTCGGGCTCCATAAAACCCTCGGCCGGGCACATCGCGCCCACCCGCCCGGCATGGAGAGCCGGCCCCTGCCCTCCTACGGCCGCCGCTTCGGCCCCTCGGTGCCCGGGTACCGGCTGCTCCTCGGCAGCGCCCCGGGCCGGCTCCGGGCGCCCCGCAGCCCCCAGCTGAGCCCCCGGCCCGGCTCGGGCAGGATGGATTTCTCGCTGGCCGCGGCGCTCAACTCGGAGTTCAGGGAGACGCGCACCAACGAGAAGGTGGAGATGATGGAGCTCAACGAGCGCTTCGCCAGCTTCATCGAGAAGGTGCGGCTGCTGGAGCAGCAGAACAAGGCGCTGCTGCTGGAGCTGAGCCAGCAGCGGGAGCGGGAGCCCTCGCGTGCCGACAGCTACCGGGAGGAGCTGCGGGAGCTGCGGCGCCGCGGGGAGCACTTGGCCACCGCCAAGGCCCGGCTGGAGATGGAGAGGGACAACCTGGCCGAGGAGCTCGGCAGCCTCCAGCAGAAGTAAGGCACTGAACAGCTCGGGGTGGCCCCGGGGACCAGGGTGGCCCACTTGGGATGGGTGTCAGGTGACTACCAGGACCAGGGTGGCCACTGGAACCAAAGTGGCAGCAGGGAACAGGATGGACACCAGGATGGGGATCAGGACCTTCCTGGTGATGGGAACCATGGTGGTGACAAAGACCAGGGTGACCCCTGGGACCAGAATGGAGCCAGGTGTTCCCAGGGGTCAGAGTGGCCCCGAGACAGGAGCAGGGTGGCCGTGGGGACCAGGGACTGGTGTCCACCAGGATTGTGATGGGATATGGGTGACTCCTGGGAACAGTGTGGGATGGTGTGGAGTGGGCACAAGAGCTGACCTGGGTTTGGGGGGATGCTGTGGGGCTGTGTCAGCCCAGAGGGTCTGTCTGTGGGCTGAGAGTGACCAGCCATGGTCCTGGATGTGTAACTGTGCCCTGCTCTGGCACAGGCTGCAGGACGAGGTGACCCTGAGGCTGGAGGCCGAGAGCAACCTGGCTGCCTACAGACAGGTGAGGGCAGATCCCAGCTTGGCCTCCCTTGGAATGGGCAGGGATGGGGTAGGGATGGACAGGGAGGTAGCAGGGACAGGAAGGGATGGGCAGGAGCAGGAACTGAGGGACTGGTATGTGTTACAATGAGCAGGTAAGGAGCGGGAATGGAGCAGGGATGAGTGGGAAGGGCAGGGATGGACAGACATGGAACATGGATGGGCAGGAATGGCAGGAGCAGGCAGTGAGGGACCGGGGCTGGGCAGAGAGAGGCAGGGCTGGGTGGGAGTGGAAGGGAATGGACATGAGCAGGCAGCTCAGGACCCGGGTGGCCAGCTGAGTCAGTCCCTCCTGTCCCTCTGTGGTGACAGGACGTGGACAATGCTGCCTTGGCTCGCCTGGACCTGGAGCGGCGCGTGGGGACCCTGCAGGACGAGATCGCCTTCCTCCACAAGGTCCACGAGGAGGTAACCCCGCTCTGGGGCTGGGGGCTGGGGCTCAGGGGGCTGCCCTGACCCTGCTGTCCCCACAGGAGCTGCGGGAGCTGCGGGAGCAGCTGGCCCGGCAGCGGGTGCACGTCGAGGTGGACGCGAGCAAGCCGGACCTGACAGCCGCGCTGCGCCACCTCCGCAGCCAGTACGAGGCCATGGCCGCCAGCAACGCCCAGGAGACCGAGGAGTGGTACAAGTCCAAGGTGCAGTGGGAGCTGGTTGCCCCACGGATGGATGGCCTGGCTGTCCCCTCCCGGGGTGTCACCATCTCGGGGCTGGGGTTGGTGTGCGGGGTCTGGGATCTCTGCTGTCCCCCTTGGGCCAGGGATCTTTCTCCTTGCCACGTGTTCTGGGGCCATGTCCCTGCTGTGGAGCAGAGCAGGGTTGTGTTCCCACACCGTGTGCCACCAGAACACATCCCTTCCCCGTGCTCCCCTCCCATGGCACACGTCCCCTGTCCCAGTTCGCAGACCTGACGGACGCGGCCGCCCGGCACGCCGAGGCCCTGAGGGCGGCCAAGCAGGAGGCCAACGAGTACCGGCGCCAGCTCCAGGCCCTCACCTGCGACCTGGAGGCTCTGCGGGGCTCGGTAGGTGACAGCCGTGGGGTGCAAGAGCAGGGACACGGCCTCAGGGAGCTGCCAGCATCGGGGGTTCCCTGGCAGGACCACCACCACAGCCAGGGGAACGGCTGGTCCCCAAGGGTGGGAGATAGATGGACACTGGGGAGAGCCCCAGCTCCTGGAAGAAGGTGGCCATGGAGGTTCACAGCCCCCTTGACCCCAGAACGAGTCCCTGGAGAGGCAGCTGCGGGAGCTGGAGGAGCGCTATGCCCTGGAGACGGCCAGCTACCAGGACACGGTGGGGAGGCTGGAGGAGGACATCCAGAGCCTCAAGCAGGAGATGGCCCAGCACCTGCAGGACTACCAGGACCTGCTCAATGTCAAGCTGGCCCTCGACATCGAGATCGCCACGTACCGCAAGCTGCTGGAGGGCGAGGAGAGCAGGTGACAGCTCCATCCTGCCCTCACCCCACCCAACCATGTCCCTAACCCAGCCCAGGTCCTCGTGGTCCCTCTGGGGTGTCCAGCAGGACCTCATGCTCTTCCCAATGCTGCCATTGCCTCTGCAGGATCACCATCCCTGTGCAGAGCTTCTCCAAGCTGCAGATCCGAGGTGAGGCTGTGCCCCACGTGGGGAAGGGGCAGTGGGCTGTGGCACAAACAGGGGGGGCTTCTGGGGGCTCTGAGGCAGGAGAAGCCACCTCGGCCATCCCTGCCCCATTCAGAGGGATCAGGAGGTTTTTCTCTGAATCCCAGGGAACCTCCTGGGTACTCCCAGGGTGGGGGGAGGAGGTGCCATGGCCATATCCCCAAGGCTGAACGTGTCCCCAAGGCTGATGATGTCCCCAGCACTGATCACATCATCATGTCCTCAATGACAACCACATCCCTAAGGCCAACTCTCTTCCTCAGTGACAACTGTGTCCCCAAGGACAAGCCTGTCCCCAAGCTCAATCACATCCCAAAGCCACCCCTGTCCCCATGGACCACAACATCTCCAAGGCCAGAAATGTCCCCAGCTGTCCCCGTAGCCTAACAGTGTCCCCAGGACACATCAGATCCCACGGCCTGCCACATCCGCAATGCCAACCATGTCCCTGAGGCCAGCCCTGTCCCTGAGGCTGGTTGTGTCTCCATGCTGTCTCTCATGGTTCAGGGGTTTCCAGCCCAATCCGTTTTCTTTGAGCTTCTCCTCCTGAGTGTGGCTGGAAGGGCCATACCCCAGGCAGGGTGTCACTGCCTTGTCCTGCCCATGTCCCCCAGAGACCAGCCTGGACACCAAATCTGTGTCAGAAGCTCACGTGAAGAGGAGCATCGTGGTCAAAACTGTGGAGACCCGAGATGGAGAGGTGGGAAATGCTCATTTGTGTCACCCACGCTCCATCCCCACCTCCCCACAGGGTCCCCAAGGGACTTGCACATGGGGCCACCATCCCCGAGCCCCACAGGCAGCCCAGGCAGGGAGCCAGTGATCCCTGAGGGTGTGGCACGATCTGACTCCGGGTCATGGTGGAGCTGAGGCCGGCAGCTGATAGAGAAAGCTGTCCTGTCCTGTCCCTGTCCTTGTCCCCAAGCTCGTTCAGAGCCCAGGCAGGCCCAGCCGGTGGCAGAACCCGATTCGGGGCTGAGGATCCCTCTGCCTCCACCTGCAGGTGCTGAAGGAGTCCAAGCAGGAGCCCAAGGAGGGGCCGTAGGGCGGGGGAGCCGCAGCAGCCGCAGCCCCGCAGGTCCCACGGGAGCCCCGGGCCGGGCACGGGGCACGGGAGGCGTCGGTGGCGCTTGGGGGGCACCTCCCTCCCGTGCACCCCTCGCCTCTCCCCGTGCCCAGGGTCCGGTGGCACCCCGTTAGGGGCTGGCAGCCGGCAGAGCTCCGGTCGGACCGGGCAGCACCCGCGCGAGGCCGGCGGAGCCGGGTGGGGCCGGGATGCTCTCAGGTTTGGGGGCCCTTCCTGCCTCATCCTGGTCTCCAGGGAGAGTCTCTGTCCTGTTTCATCTCCGTGCACCCTCAGACAACACGGTGGTGCCAAGAGCATCTCCCTGCATCCACTCTCTGGCCTGGGAGGCCTCCCTGCATCTCCCCAGGGCACCCGGACCCTGACACCCTCGGCTGGGGGGACGCAGGGCTGAGGTACCGGCTGGAGAGGGACATTTCCCTGTCACCAAGCACTGGGTGAGCTCAGCTGAGAGGCAGGGCAGGGGGGAGAATGGAGAGGCAGGGAGGGAGAAGGAGGATGATGGAGAGGCAGGGGCAGGAGAAAGAGGAGAGTGGAGGAGCAGGATGCTCTTGGGATGGTGTCAAGCAGTGACAAAAAGGGCATCAGGAGGGGATCCTGAGGTGTCTGGGGTGGGTTGTGGGGCTACACAGTGGCCTCAAGGGCTTCTCCTGGCACAGAGCCATGGGGCTGTCCTGATCCCACTGGGTGACTGCCACCAAGGTGTCCCCAACACAGGAAAAACAGGAAAAACCAGACCTGAGGGGTGACCCATGGCCCTGTGGCAGGGGAATCTCATGCAGGTGAAAATGGAGAGGAGACAAGAAGGGTGCAGAGGAGGAGGAACAGGAGGAAGGTGTCAGGGCACCTGTGAGGGTCTCACAGCCCAAGGTGCCACCTGCAACCAAGGAGTGACGGGGGAGTCTCGTCACTCTGGGAGCCAGGGACTCTGGGGCTGCCCCAGCCACAGTCCCTGCCCCACACACAGCTGAGCCCACCCTCCATGGGCATTCAGGAAGGGACTGGAAGAAATCCCTTGTCCCTGGGCTGCACAGGGCCCTACCTGTCCTCCCCCCGAGCAGCACTCGCCCCCAGGGCCATTGCCCAGCCCGGTGCTCGCCACAGCCCCGACCCCACCCTGGCTGCAGCCACTGACCACGAGCAGGACCTGCCTGGTGCCTCCTGACACAGAACGAGGAGCCAGCAGCACCTCCCGTGCCCTGAGAGCCTTTGGGACGAGCACACGGCTGCCCTCGGGCGCTGTCCCCTCTGTCCCCTCGGTCAGGGGCTGAGCAGCTCTGCTCTGACCCCAGACACACAACCCAGTCCCAGAGCTGCGTTCCCAGGGCAGGAGGTGTTTTGGAGAGCTGGGTGGTGCCCGGGGCAGGAATGCAGGGGGATGGGACACCAGGAGCAGCCTCCCTTGCTGCCGAATTAATGCACTAATGCTGCTGCAGGATGAGAATAAAGCTAACAAACACACTGAGCTTCCATGGTTGTGCCTGCATCCACCTCTCTGCAGCCAGCACTGTGGGGCTTTGGGATTATCTGGGGTGGTGGGGACCTCTGGGAGCCCAAACCGATCCTAATGTTGCAGGAGAAGGTGCTCAGGGCTGAGCCCCGGGGCACGGATACACTCCAGGGGCCAACAGCCAGAAGGGACTGAGCAGAGGGAGGGGATGCAGGGATCACACACAGCCAGCAGTGGGGTGGGAGAGATCCCTTCCCTGATGGGAATCAGGGATCTCCTGGGGGTTCTTCACCCTCAAACCCAGCTCCCTCCCCACACAATGCCAGGCTGCAGCTCCTGGGGGGCTGCCAGGGTTGGCTGCAGCTTTGGGGCTGAGGGTGGATTGGAGCTCCTGCACATCATCAAACAGTTCAAGGGCCAGAGCAGCACTGGGAGCCTCCGTGCCCTCCTGGACAGAGGGACAGAGGGATTTCTGCTGAATTCCTCAGCCACGTCCTCAGAAGAAGGAGATGAGCCTGGAGGGCACATCCTGCTCCATGCTGAGGATTAAGTGTCCACCAAAACCCTGCAGAGCTGTCACAACCTTTGGGGGATGTTTGAGGTGACTTTGGCTCTCAACTGTGGGGAGTTGGGTGAGTTAAAAGCACCCCAAAAGCAGCCATTTCTGCAAAAAATCACCAAATCAGTTTGAAAAATATTCTTCCCTTCACAAGTTTAAAAAAACCAACAACAAAAATTAAAAGGTATGGGTTTGCTCCAGTTGAGGAGCTCAAAAGGGACCCTGAAGGGTTTGGGACACACAGTTCTCAACATGGAAAACAAGGCAAACAAGGGTGAGGAAAGCAAGTATTAATTGGATTAAAATAGTTTGGTGGATGTTTTTAGCAGCCTCTTAGAAAAACAGCTGTAATAAATCACTGGTGCAGATCAAGAACTCTACAGTTTGGCCAGAACATCTTGCACCAGCTCCAAGTTTTCTTTTGAAAAGGACTTTATTGAGCTTTAACCCCCACTGCCAACCAAGGGAGAGCCAGGAACAAATCCTGGCAGTGTGAAATCCCACCTGGAGCAAACCCTGGCACTGTCAAATCCTGCCTGTCCCTACTGAGCTGTGCCCAAACAGGGACTTTCCCACATCAGTCCTTGCTGTCCTACTCCTGCCCTGAGGGGAGGGAGAGCAGGAATTTGGCAGTGTTTGAATGTTGATGGCCAGAACAGGGGAATTTCCAACGGGAGAAGGGCCCAGGGCATCCAAGTGCCCCTGGGGATGATGTCCCAGCCTGGATGGGGTCTTGAATGCCCGCCAGCAGCAGCCCATGTGGGCAAGGATGATGATGATGATGATGCCCATGTTTGTTCCCTGTGGATCCTGTCTGGAAGCCCAGATGGGCAAGGATGATGATGATGATGCTCATATTTCCTCCCCGCTCAGGGCACTCAGACCCTGAGTGCCCACATGGGCAAGGATGATGATGATGATGTCCATGTTTCCTCCCTGTGGACCCTGTCTGGATGCCCAGGTGGGTGAGGATGATGATGATGAAGATCATGTATCCTGGACCCCATCTGGCCCCTCAGCTCAGCTCTCAGCAGCTCAGCTCACACCATGACCTGGCTGACCTGGAAAGGGCCCCAGTGGGTCTCACAGCCCCATCTTCTGTCACCATTCCCACAATCTCTGCTCCACTGCATTTCTCCTCCGTCTTCCCACCAATCCCCAGGGATTTTGCCTTTCCCAAGAGCTGGGGATGCAGCAGGCTGCTCCCAGCCTTGCCCTCCTCACCCTGAGCCTTGGCACCACTCAAGCAGCGTGCCTGTTCCCACCAGAGCTGTGGCACTTTTGCTGGGGCTGTTCTGGCATCAAAATCCTCCATCCTGATCTTGGGTAGCTCCAGGATGTTCTTTTGCTGAAGTCTCCAGAGCTCAGCTGTTGTCAGGTGTGCAAAGGCAGGAGGAATGGCACCACAGCAGAGTGCAGGGACACACATGTCCCCTCAAGGGGTGCCACGAAGGCCAATATTCCCATTCCAGGCCTCAGGGACGAACTTGGACCTGCCATCAGGTGCCTGGTGGTTTCTCCAGGGCAGGTGGGAGCAGGTGCTTCCAGTCTGCTGGGGTGACTCTGCCATTTGCTGCACTGGGTTTGGGGAAAAAATGAACCTGAGTTGTCACTGTCATCAATTACATCTCCTGGAACCCCTCAGTAACTGTGAACAGGGGTGGAAGAGGAAAGGGACTATCTGGGTTTGGGTTTCTCCTTCAAAACCACCACCCTGTTTTCTTTCCCTTGGATTTCTCCTTATCCAAGAGACTCTCCCATACCCATCTGTGAGGGCACCCTGCTCAGAGACCACAGCACCACAGCCTGGGAGTTAAGCTTTATTGTGCACAACTTGTGCCCTGGCTGATGCCAGAGTCAAGCTTTGAGGTTTCTGCTCAATCCTGGTGCTCCTGCTCCCTCAGCTGACCTGGTAACACTTCATCAGCTCCACCACTGTCCTCTCCTCCTCACTTTCCTTTTCCAGGTGGGTCTCCACGGGATGGGTTTTCCTCCCAGCCTCACAGCTGGCCAGGCAGCCAGGCTGGCCAGCAGCCTGCCAATCCCTGCTCTGCAGCTTCCTGAACAAGTCCTGGCTGCTCTCCTTCTCTGCCTGGCTCAGGAGAGCCACGTTCAGCCCGAAGCGCTTGGTGCCCGCCAGGCTCTGCAGGATCTGAAGGATGGCAGCTCTGTCTCCAGGATGGATGTTCTCTGCCAGCACTGTCAGGAATTCCCCCAGCAGGCCAAAGCCCACATCAGCCTGGAAGATCCTGCCCAAGGCCTCCCCTCCAAGCTCCAGCAAAAACTGGTATTTCTCTGTCCCACTTTTCATGCACCTGCGCCAATCTCGGTGAAATTCTGCAGCGGTGCCAGGCAGCTGATCCAGCTCCTGGAGGAGAAAGGGACACTCAGGTCCTTTTGTTTTGGTCCCACTTGAAGACTTTGATCCCCTCACCACAATCAGCCCATGGACAGCTGAGATGTTTTGACCAGGGGCTTTGGCAGCACAAGGAGCTGCTGAGGGGGAAAAGGGGAAGGCAAGGAAATGACAGGTGCCTTCAACCCTGAGAAACCAGGAAAATCCAGAGGAAAAGGGGAAAACAAGGAAATGGCAGGTGCCTTCAACCCTGAGAAACCAGGGAACACCGGGGGAAAGGGAAGTGAGGATGAGCTGTGACACCCAGTGTGAACACAGAGGGCTGTGGAGTGACCCCAGCCCCAACCAGTCAGACTCTCTGCCCAGCCTGGATCCACCAGCACTGCCTGGGAAGGGATCTCATGGAGATCAGGGCAGGGAACACTCTGAGCACAGAGAGGAAAAACCAGGGAGTGGCAGAGAAAAGGTGGGAGATGCAAACCCCAGAAAACGTGCAGGTGCCCTGTCTGGTACCACCTGGCATTGGTGGGTCTGTGGCAGAGCAGAGGCTGAGAGCTGAGCTCCAAGGGGCATTCCCAGGTAAAAGAAATCCCATTTTATACCAGCTCTAATGAACTGCTGAGCCCAGCCCCGCTGGCTCACCAACACACAGGCTGAAAGAGGAGGCAGATGTGCAGCTTTTCTACAGCCAGGGAACAAAGCTAAGTGACATCAGCTGGGGCTGAGCACAGCTGGAGAAGCTCTGGAGATCTGAGCCTGGTGCTGATGGGACCAGGAGCAGGATTTGCTTGGGGAGATCATTGCTCAGTCCAAGCAAACACAGCCCTCCTCAGGAGAGTTGCAAAAGGTCTTATAATAAACAGAGGTCAGTGAAACCCAGCATCATAAACAACCCTTGAGATTGTTTACAAGACAATCCATGAAATTGCTTATCATGGGAAACATCCATGGGAAACATCCAGTGACCAGGACACCCCAGCATGGACAGAGTCCAGGGCAGGGGCAGGAGGTGACTCCAACCACAAATGACCTGGACAGAAAATGTCCTGTCCCTTTCCCACTGCTGAGGGACCCAGTGAGTTCATGAGGCTCAGGCAGATTAACCCAAGCCAGCTCTTTTCCATGACCATTAAACCATGGGCAATTCCCTGTGCTCAGGGAATCTCTGCAGCCAGAGGCTGCTCCAGGGAGGATGCCGGTGCTCAGCCCTGGCTCTGGGCAGGCTGCAGCTGCTCCCAGCCAGGAGGGACAGCTCCCAGCCTGCTCCTGGCCACCGTGGGAGCTCTGGGTCCAGGCTGTGCAGCCAGGCCTCCATTCCCACAGGAAGGGAGCAGACTCCTCCTGAAGGGGCCCAGCCTGATCCAAACGCTGATATTCCAGGGGCCAGGAGGGCTGGCTCACACCAGAGTGAGTCCTGAGTAACTCCTGCACTGCAATTGACACCCAGGTGATTCCTGAGTCATTTCCAGCTGTGCAGGAGGCCCCAGCAGCCTCTCCCTCACCTGTGGGATCTCCACAGTGCAGACAGGTGCTGTCTCAGCTGGGGCTGCACAGGGATTCCACAGCACATTCCTCCTCTGTCCCAGCCTGTCCTTCTTCTCCAGAGGCTTCAGGTGAGAAGCCAGCACAATCTCCCTAAAGGGAACAGGGACAGGAGGGACACGTGGCAAGAGGAAACACTTGGAGGCTCCAAGCTGCTGCTCTGGGCCAGTTTCTGACTTTGGGCTGTGTGGAGCACCCAGAGGGGCTGGAGGAGCACACCCTAACCAACACAAGGATAAACCAGCCTGAAATCCCTCGGGAATCCCATCAAGATATTTGGGGAGAAGCCACTTGAAAGTGTTTTCCTGCCCCTCAGGGATCAGGTGGCATGGGGGAATGAGACAGACACGAATCCATGAATGGAATCTGAGCTGGTCCCAGAATGCCTCCCAAGAGGGGTGAGAGTCCTGGATCTACCCACGGATCCTGGGTGTCAAAGGACAGGGAGCCCCGAGATGGATCCCTGGGGAATCCTGGAGTTTGGAGGGGACTGGGGATGCCCAACACTGCCCCGTGGGGCAGCCCTGCCACCCCAGCCTGCTCACAGCCCCTGGACACAGCAGTGACACACCTGGGACAGGCTGGGAAGGGCACAGATGACACAGGGGACAGGCACCCGGGGAGACAGTGTCCCGGGGAGGGGACAGTGCCATCCCACTGCTGGCTACAGCCGGGCCACCACAGGGACCGGCCACGGAGCAGGGACAGATCTCAGCGCACACGGGGCCACCGGAGGAGTTCTGGGACAAATCCCAGCCACGGCCGGGCGGGCTCTGCCCTCGGGGCTGTTCGGGCACCCCGAGGGAGGCTGCTGCCCCTCGGGTCCCCCGAGCAGTGCTCGGCCCATCACACCCGAGGGGTCCCGCAGCCCCCGAGCGAGTTCCCGGCTCCGCCCGGTTCCCTCGGGCCGGTCCCGGAGCCCCGGACCTGAACTGGCCGTAGTCGGGGACGCCCTGGCGCAGCGCCCGCAGCTTGGCCTCGCCCTCCCGCTGCCGCCGCTCGTCCTCCGCCAGCGCCGCCCGCAGCTCCCGCTCCAGCACCGGGAACGCTCCGGCCGGATCCATTCCCGGCTCCATGCCCGGATCCATTCCCGGCTCCATGCCCGGATCCATTCCCGGCTCCATGCCCGGATCCATGCCCGGGGCGCGGGCAGGCACCGCCGCCACCTGCGGGACCTGGGGGCACAGGGACCCCTCCTGTCGAAACAGCCCTGCCTGCGATGGCTTCGAGGACACACTTGTGTCACACCAGCGCTGCCGGGCGGGCCCGACAGCCCCGACCTTATCGCGACAGTCCTGCCCTGTGACCCCCCACTGTGGCAGCCCAAGGCCGCGCACGCGGGTGGCAACTGGGAACCTCTCCCCTGTGCGAAACCGCCAGGCCCTGACACACCGCCGTCCCACGGCCGCGCTCTCTATCGCGACAGCCCCGCCGGTGACGAACACCTGGGCCCCGGGGCCGCGCGCTCTGTCGCGACAGCGCCGCTCGCGCCGTCGGAGCGCCGGGACCGCGCAAGGCCCCCGGGGCTGCCCCGGCCGCGCCCGACAGAACCGGCCCCGCCGCCCCGCGCTACCCCGCGGCCTCCGGGACGCTCCGGAACCGGCCCCGACCCGGCGCCGCACACACCCGGCCCTCCTCCCGCGGGCGCGGCACTGGCGGCGGGCGCGGGACGCTCGGTCGCGACAGGCGGCGAGGGCAGCCCGGGGCCTTCGGCAGCGGCGGCGCCGGCGAGCGCAGCGGCGGGAGTGGAGCCGGGGCAGGTGAGGGAGAGCGGGGCCAGGACCGGGACCGGTGAGGGAGAGCGGGGCCGGGGCCGGGGCCGGTGAGGGAGAGGGAGAGTGGGACCGGGACCGGGGCTTCGGGCAGGGCCGGGGCCGGGGCTGGGGCTTGGGGCCAGGGCCCCGGTGCCACGGGCCCTGAGGGGGTTCTGTCACGGGCCCCGGTCTCTGCACCCTCCCGACCCTCTTCCCGCCCCCAGCATGGACACCGACCTGTACGACGAGTTTGGGAACTACATCGGGCCCGAGTTGGACTCGGACGATGACGACGACGAGCTGGGCCGAGAGGCCAAAGACCTGGACGAGGTGAGGAGGGGCAGCGACCCCCGGAGCCGGCGGGGCTCATCCTGACCCGGGCCCGGAGCGGGGACGGGCCCGCGGCTGCTCCTGCTCCGTGCGGGGCCCTGAATGCCGAGGGTCCGAGCAGGGCTGGTGTTTAAAGAATTCACAAAATCCCTTCCTGGCGTAAAGAGAAAGATCTAGCTGGAATGGCAGAGGGAACCGCCAGCTCCTGGGCTGGGCTGGGTTTGGTGTCAGGCCCATGGCGGGTCCGGGTCCCCTCGGGAGCCCCTCGGGAGGGAGCTGAGGCTGCTGCAGGAGCGGGATCCCCGCGGGGGAGGCAGAGCAAGACCCCACGGACACGGTGGGGGCAGAGGGGCTGCCCCAGGGGGGAATTGAGGGAACCCTTTCCCGTGTCCTGCTGGTCCGTGGGTGGGGTTGTGTTACCAGGTGTGGTTCTTGCCTTGGGCTGTGGGGTCCCTGCAAGTCCAGGGCTGTTGCTGATCCAGGAGCTGTGGGAAGAGCCGTGCTGCTCCTCCAGGAGCTGCTCCCAGGGCACCCCTGTGGGTGCTGGGGCTGCACTGGGGGTCCCTGGCTCGGGGGTGACCCCAGGCCTGGCCCCCTGGGGGGCTCCACAGCAGCTCAGAGCGAGCCTTGGTTGCAGCTGGAGGATGATGATGATGATGATGACATGGGGGAGCACGACGAGGAGCACGCTGGGATGGAGGTGGTGCTGCACGAGGACAAGAAGTACTACCCCACAGCAGAGGAGGTCTATGGGCCTGAGGTGGAGACCATCGTGCAGGAGGAGGACACACAGCCACTCACTGGTCAGTGGGAGGGGCTGGAGGGAGGAGAAGGCTCTCAATGGATCCTTGGAAAGGGGAAATAATATTCCCTTTTGTCCTGCCCCTTTGGAGATCCCTCATAGCCTCAAGAGCTCTGCAGATTTGGGCACTTGTGGTTTTTGCAAACCCAAACAAAGGTATCTTTGGAAGAACAGGAATCAGCAGAGGTAGGAGAGCTATTTAAGGGAGAAGTAAATGCATTTAAGTGATCTCCCTTGATCCCTCCATACTGGAATGGCTCAGCTTTAGGGGCCCTGCAGTGACCATCTCCTGCAGCTTTGACAAACAGCTGAGAGAATCTGTCAGCCAGAAAATTGAGGGGTTGTCAGCTAAAGTCCTCATTCCTGGGGGCTATTCCTGACCCTGCTGGTTCAGGGGCTCTGGGAACAGTTTGTTGTTCTGTCTCTTGTTTCAGAGCCCATTATCAAACCTGTGAAAACCAAGAAGTTCTCCCTGATGGAGCAGACACTGCCGGTCACTGTCTACGAGATGGAGTGAGTGTGGGGCTGGGGGGCACGTCTGGGGGTCTCACTGACCTGAGAGCAGCCAGTTCCCAGGTTCTGAACCCAAAACAAGAGAAGTGCAGGACAATTTCACAGACATTTTTCCTCCCCAAGGAAAATGGGCACAGGGTAGGGATGGACACAACAGGGGAATCTCACCTCAGGGGCTGAGGCCAAGCTCCATAGCAACAGCTTGTGGCTCAGGAAAACTTCTTGGAATGATTTGGGTTGCAGGGGACCTTAAAACCCATCCAGTCCCATCCCTGCCATGGGCAGGGACACCTTCCACTGTCCCAGGTTGCTCCCAGCCCCAGTGTCCAACCTGGCCTTGGACACTGCCAGGGGTGGAGCAGCCACAGCTGCTCTGGGCACCCTGTTAAATATCCACATGGTCAGTGTGTAGCACACATCATACTGGGACATTTTGGGTTGATCCCAGTCTCAGATTAGGTCCCATCTATTCCAGTTTCCATTGGGAATTAATTTTTATGCTGCTGGGTGAGTGCAGAGTGCTGTGCAGTCAGCAGGACACTGCAGCTGTGCTGGGTGGGTCTATTCCTTGTGTCCCAAAGCAGCTTCTTGGACACCAGGGCTGGGAGAAAACCTCCTGGAAAAAATTCCAAATGCATTTAAAATTGGAGATGTAGTATATCAAATGAGTTTTCTGTGGAATAAAAACCATCCTTGGCTTTTTCTTGTAGAAGCCTGCTCTTGGTCTGTGTATTGTGGTGGGCAGGGGGTCTGTGACCCTGTACCTGCAGTGTGTGTGTGTTGTCTCTCTTTGGGATGAGCAGATGGAGCTGTGGGGGTCTCCTTGGGCTCATCTCTCCACTCTCCACTTCGTGGCCTGTCAGGGCTTTTCCCAGTTTAAATGTTCCCCTCCAGGTGAGCTGTGGCTGAGCAGCAGTTCCCTGGTGGTGGGCAGTGCCTGGCATCCAGCACCTCGTGTTTTGCAGAGGGGACAGGATGTTCCTGGAGCTGGTGTTCGCTCAGGGCTCCCTCAGCTGCCCAGGGCTGTGCCCAGTGCCTGGAGGCTTCAGCAGAGCTGGAGCAGAGCCCAGGAGCTGCTGGGGCTGGCTTTTCTCAGCCCGTGCTTTGGCTCAGTCCTGACCTGGGCTCTGCATTATCCACCACTTCCCTGATCCCTGTGTGCTCTGCTCATTCCATCTGTAATTAATTCATTTTTCTCCTATTTGTTGATATAAATGGTTAGGATGGGCCACGAGAAATTCCTTGTGGGATGTAGCCAGAAACCTGCAAGCTTGGTATTGATTTCCCGTTTAGCCTTATTTTCAGACCAATTAGGAAGGTTTTAATCTGGATTAGTATTGATTGCTGTATTTTTTAGCTCTTAATCAAAATGTTTTACATTAAGAAGTCTATTGCATCAGTGAAAATTTAATTTGTTTAAAAAGGAAATTATTTGACAGCACTTACTCTCTGCAGGCCTCTGGCAGTGACTGCGTGTTTTACTGCCTCCCATTATTTTTTAGGGGTGGTAATTTAGGATCTCAATTATCTTTTGGCCAGCATCCATCCAGAAGTGACCAGCTCATCATTACCCAGCTCAGCTGCTAATTTGAAAAAGACTTAATTCCTTGAGTCCCTGGAATGTCACTGTTTTAAGGCTTGAAAATCAGAATTAATGGTCTGTGGAGCCCCTGGCTGCTTTCAGAGCTCCATGGGGTGCTTGTTATCCAGCACCACGATTTACCTGCCTGCCTGCCGTGGTTTGAGTGGAAGTGCTTCATCATCTGAGTCTATGGATGTGATTTTTGCTCCAGTACTGACTAGAAGAGAAGAAAAATATTCAATAATATTCAATTGCTGGCAGCTTTACCAGCTCTGTATCCTCCCACCCACTGCCATCTGTCTGGGACTCCAACTCTCTTGTCCTCCCCATCTGGAAAGTGGGATTCTTCCTCCGCAGGGCACTGGCAGGATAAAAGTTTGGCAAAGATTCAGGGGGCACCTTGGATAGAAAGTGTAGCTGAAAAGCAGCACCTACTTTTCTTAGACGCAGCAGAAGCCTCCAACAGCCTTTTGTGTTTTGTTCCTGCAGTTTCCTGGCAGATCTGATGGACAACTCGGAGCTGATCCGGAATGTGACTCTGTGTGGGCACCTGCACCACGGCAAGGTGCTGTCACTGTCCAAAATGCAGGGGTAGGGATGGTGACCTGCTGCTTTGCCAGCCCTCCTGGCCCCTGGTTCTCTGCAGCAGTACCTTCTGCTCCTCCTGCTCATGCACTTATTTATAGAATCCAAGGATGGATTGGGTTGGAAGGGACCTTAAAGCCCACCCAGAGCCACCCCTGGCATGGCAGGGATACCTTCCACTGTCCCAGGCTGCTCCAAGCCCCATCCAGCCTGGCCTTGGACACTTCTGGGATCCAGGGGCAGCCACAGCTGCTCTGGGCACCCTGTGCCAGGACCTGCCTACCTTCACAGAGAGGAATTCTTTCCCACTATCCCACCTAACCCTGCCCTCCAGCTTGAGGCCATTTCCCCTTGTCCTGGCACTAGGTTTCCCTGTGAAATGCGTAGATATTTTTGTAGGTTTTATTTGTAGGTTTTACAATACCCTGCTCAGCATGCTCTGTGCTGCTGCTGGAGGGATGGGGCTGTGTTTGTGTCTGTCTGAAGAGAGGCAGCTCCTTTCTGTGCTCTCTTCCAGACTTGTTTTGTTGACTGCCTGATAGAGCAGACGCACCCGGAAATCCGGAAGCGCGACGATCAGGATGTGAGTGAGCTGCTGGGAACTCCCACCCTGGGGACACGGGGTGGCTTCTACACCCTGAGGGAGGGGGACTGTGCATGGGGACAGGGTGCTTCAGTGACTGGAATGTAGGATTGGGAAGCCAGAGCTCAGTCCTAGTTCTGCTTCTGTCCCTTACTTGTCACCTTAGTGATGTGCCTGAGTTATTGTGTCCTGCTTCAAACTGAGTATCTGGTACCAAAATGTGAGACTCTCTGATTTTTGTTTTGCCTTTGCAGCTCTGCTACACTGATATATTGTTCACAGAGCAGGAGGTGAGTGGTCCTGTAGTGATTTTATCCAGTTGTCTCATGCTTTACTCACAGTTGTTGTAGGCAGTTTCCTTGTCCATTTTAATGCCTTTTTGTGCCTTCCACATTTTGGTTATTTTCTTTATCAGTAAAACAATCTGCTCCTCTTGTTTGCCTCAGGAAGATTCCTGATCCAACTTCCTTCCCTCATCTCCATGTATGATTTTATAACTTGTTTAATGTTAAATCTACAGCAGAGTCACCCCAGTTTGGGGATAATTTTTACTTTCTTTTGAGAGAAAAAGGAGGAGGGGATTTGCAGTAGTGGTAGAAGAGAAAAAAATTATTTCGAAATAAATACATTTCTGCTTGTTTTCCTTAGCTCTGACTCCATGTGGTTGGGCATGAGTGGGAATGTTATTTTGTGTCATGACCAGAACAATGCTTTGAAGCATTTTTTTTTTCTCCTCTCAATGTTTATACTCTGTGTGATCAAATCTTGTGCTTTGAGGCGTAACTTGGTGGCAGCAGAGGGTGAAAGCACAAACAAACACCCACATTCTGTCTCAGGTGTTGCCTGTAGTACCTCCTCAGCTGAAATCAGGTGTGGAGGGTGCAATGGTGGCTCACCAGTCTGACCAGTACAGATGGGAGAGCAGGCTGGGTGCTTTGGTGATCTGAGGTTATTACTCTCTTCCAGGATGAGTGTTTTCTTCTTTCCATCTTCCTGATTTTTTTCTTGATCTTCTTCTATGTCTGTACATGGTGTTCCTTGTGTTTCTATACAGGGTGATCCTTTTGTTTATTTTTTTTAACCTGTAATCCTGGTTTCCTGTGTTTCAGAGGGGGGTGGGGATCAAGAGCACCCCAGTGACAATTGTTCTGCCGGACACCAAAGGAAAATCTTTCCTCTTCAACATCATTGACACTCCAGGTGATTGTGCAGTCCTGAAAATCCTGCTGTGGGAAGCACTTAGCTGTGTTTTGTACTTTTTATGGCTGACTCCAGCCTAGTCCTGAGTCTTCATCTGAGTTCATTCCTGTGAAGTCACTTCCAGCAGTACTGACCCATAATCACCCAGGATGGTTTGGGGTGAAGGGACATGGAAGTTCATCCAGTTCCAACTCCCTGCCATGGGCAGGGGCGAGTCAGGCTCATGTCTGTGATTACCTGGCCTGATTGAGGGTTGGTGAGGCTGAAGAGGTGTTTCTCAAGCAGCACAGGTAGAATTTTCCTTCCCAGATATTGCCATGTGCAGGGGGACCCTGCTTTGCTCAAATGCTGGTGCTCCACAGTGAGAGTCAGCAAGTTCCTCAGGCCTCTGACAGTTCCTCTTCTGTGAAGGGAACATAATCACAGATCAACTTGTAAGAAACTTTAGGGAAGAGGGTCTTGGGACACATCTGCTGAGCCACAGCTCAGGATGAGGGAGGTTAGAGCGCAGGAGGAGGCTTGGGGGGAGAAGCATCTGTTGTCTGTGAGAAGAAATCTTCCTCCTTTTCCCGAAGTGCTTGCACAGAGCTGTGAGAAAAACAGTCACAAATGTGAGGAAGAGTGCCTGTAAAACAAGTTGTGTACATTCTCAAAAAACAGCATTAGAGCTGAGGCTAAATCCCCATGGGGAGCTCTGGCAGCTGCTCCCAGGTCCCCATGTGAGGAGGAACCATCTCCCTTCTGCCTCTCTGGGTACCAGCAACCACAGGAATCCACAGAACCCCAGAGCTTCCCACCCTGTGTGCTGCTGCTGCTGCACCAGGGCCCTTTGTGCCTCTCACTGCCCACCTTTGTGTGGTTTTGAAGGTCATGTGAATTTCTCTGACGAGGTGACAGCCGGCCTGCGCATCTCGGACGGCGTCGTGCTCTTCATCGACGCGGCCGAGGGGGTGAGTGCCACCTTGTCCTGGGGCTCACATCCCTCCCTTTGGAGTCTGTGCTGCTGCCTTGCATGGAGGCCTGGGATGGGTTCAGCTTTCTGGGGTGAAGGGTTTTTGGAGGACAGCTTGGGAAGTGAGGGTGTTTTCCATCTGAACAGGCAGCCAAGCCTGTGGCTGCTGTGTCCAGACTGATGTGATGCTGTGGCCTGCAGGCTGATTGTCTGACTTGTGTGCATCTCCATCCCCATGATACCTAAAACTGAGCAGGTTATTTATATCAGAGATGTCCAGAGGCTTGGATTCAAGGAATTTGGTTGGGTTAGCACCTATTTCTGAATTTCAGGAGAATTAGCTGATTGCTGAGCTTGGGCTTTTCTGCAGCCTGGCAGCAGAGTAAGGGTCACTGGTTGCCCCTCACGCCCCAGATAGCATTTTGGGGAGGCTTTCCTGGGGCTCTGAGCTCACTGCTCCCTGCAGGTGATGCTGAACACAGAGAGGCTGATCAAGCACGCCGTGCAGGAGAGGCTGGCAGTGACTGTGTGCATCAACAAGATTGACAGACTCATCCTGGAGCTGAAACTGCCCCCCACAGATGCTTACTACAAGCTCAGACACATTGTAGATGAAGTTAATGGTCTGATCAGGTGAGGCTGCTTGGGGTGCTGCATTGTTAGTGCTGCTGTCCCTGTCCCGTGGCTCTCTGTGAGCCCTGCACATGCCTGAAAACTCATCAGTTTGTCTCTTGATGTGTTGAGTCATAGAAAATGGGCCAGGAAGAACCACTGGGAGTTAATCTCAGCTGATACATTGAATTTAGGAGGATTGGCTTTTCCTGGCAAACTCCAGGGATTTCATTTCCCCTGCCCCATTTCATTTTTCTTCCACTAAAAAGTAGAGAAAGTGGACATCTGACCAGAGCAGGGAATCTGTGCTCCCAGATGTCTCAAATACACTGAAATGATCCAGGTTGTATCCCAAATTGGAGGTTGAGATGTCTTAAAGCTCCTAAATACTTGCTACAAAACTAAAAGGGGATTTACTGTCTCAACTCCTGGACAAGGATTATGATATTGACACAGTTCAATCTCCTTGCCAGCCCTGCCCAGGAAAGGGAGGGATGTCTTAGACATTTCTGTGGGCTCTTCTGCATCCAGGGATTTTTTAACAGCATTCTGCCCTTCAGGTGTGTGTGTGTTTGCACACAAGCTCCCTGGCATGTCTCTGCTCGATGTGTGCTGGCATCAGGCAGCTGGAGCAGGGTAATTCATCCTGCCTAGCGTGGCTGTGAGCTCATTAAACCTGTTTGGATTAAATTATACCCCTGTATTATCTTTTCCCTTACTTGGTTGACCAACTTGGCTGCTTTTTTAGAAGAAGAAAAGTTATCTCAGATAAAAAAATCTGAAGTATTTGTGCTGGTAACTTTTTAGTTCTAGGATCTTTAAATCTTTGCATTAATGCTTGAAATTTATAGGCAGAAAATGTTCCTGACCCTGAGATTCTGATGGCAAGCAAGCTGCAGCCTGTTTAAAGATGCTTTTTGGCAATGCACGCTCCTTGCCTGTCACTGCTGTAGGGTGTGGGAAGTGGGCTGAAGTGTCTCCTTTGGTTCATAACATTGATTTGATTTTATTTTTCTCCTCTCAGCATGTATTCCACCGATGAGAACCTCGTGCTGTCTCCCCTTCTGGGGAACGTGTGCTTCTCCAGCTCTCAGTACAGCATCTGCTTCACACTGGGGTCTTTTGCAAAGATTTATGCAGACACATATGGTGAGGATTAGCCAGAAACCTGGTACACTTCAACATCTCATTTCCCAACCTTTCTTGTGGGGGTTTTCTAAGCCATTCAGCTTCCCCTGCACACGGCCAGTGTTTGTGTTCTGGAATTGCTGACAGTTGAGTGGTGCTGCAGAGCTGAACCTTGGGGGTTAAAAAGCAGAAACACAGTTTTAGCAAGATATTTTCTCCTGATAAATGTTTTGTGAGTCAGAAGCCAAGATTTTTTTCATACCCTGAGCAGAAATAACAAGCAAATGAAGGCAGGTGTGTGTGTGTTGTGCTTTGCCTCCCTGTCAGCAGCTCAGGAACGAAGCAGTTAAGCTCTTCCTGCCTTTTCCCAAAAGTCCAAGACTCAGCTGCAGCTGGGCACAAGCTTTGCCCACAAGGTTTTGCACTCTTGCCCTCTTTCTTTTTTAAGAAACTCTCTTTTTCTGGCCTGGATTTAATTTTCTGCTCCCCAGGTGCCCACTCAAGGCAATCTGCTGCATGTAGCAGTGGGCTCCGTGCTGGCATTAGCAGCTGCACAGCCCAGGTTTTTGAAGTCCCCCACTGGGGAATTTGGGGATCTGTAGGAGCTGAGAGCAGGGGAAGAAGGAGGTTGTAAAGCAGGTGGGCCAGCTCTTGCAGAGAACTTGGCCTGAGGGAGGATGAAGTTGTTGAGGTCAGGGACTGATGGTGTCAGGACTGTCACGTGTCCTGAGAGTTTGGAGCAATAAATGAGCTCCCTGAGTGTCAGAGCATTAACTCAGAGCCTGCTGGGGTGAGACCCCTCCTTAGGGAGCTGAGGACTGCACAGTTGGCAGGAGATGCCAACTAGGTGGGGAAGGCAGGAGCTGAATGGGTGTTTGGAGTTGGGAATAGTGGATTCTGGTCACCAGGAATTGTGTGTGCAGCCACCACATGTCACTGACAGGAGTTAGAGCAGCATCAGTGTCCAGACTGCAGCCACCAGGAGGCAATTCCTTGTGTTCACACATCTGCCCACAGCAAAAGCTTGTTTGGAACCTGCTGTAGGTTCTCATTCTATCCTGGTTTTTGTAAATTCACCATGACAGCCAGCACTGCACTGGGCCTTCAGTGCTGGGTGTTTGGCTGTGTGCTCCCTGAGAAAGAGGAAGGAGCTGGAGATGTTCAGCAGGGCAGAAAATGCTGGTGCTGAGCCTGCAGGGCTGAGGGGTGGAGGCCATGCCAGCACCTGGACACTGCAGCAGCAGTCACAGATTCCTGTTTGGAAGTGCAGCAGATGAGGTTGGGCTCCTGCAGCACTCCTCAGCTCTGACCCCGTGGGTAGCAGAGAGCTGGAGTGTTCCTGGGAAGTCAGTCTGTGAGCTGCAGTGTCCCTGGGCTGCTGGGGACATCCCCACTGGACTCTTTCTGCTCATCTCTGCCTGGGCTCCCCAGGACAGCGCTTAATCTTTCACTCAGAATTGGGACGAGGCATTCACTCATCAGCATCAGTTCATTAAATTGAATCCTCAGGCTTGTTTTAAAAGCCAAAATATAAAGATTTCTAAGCTAAGAAAAAAGCAGTGACATCTGAGAGGCTTTATCATTTGCTTTTTCCTTTAGGAGACATCAATTACCAGGAGTTTGCAAAGCGGCTTTGGGGCGACATCTACTTCAACCCGAAGACGTAAGAACCCTTTTAAAATGTTTTAATGTTTTATTCCTGGGTTTTTCCCTTCTTTCCCTGTAAAATGTGGACCCAAGGGTGACTCCTGATCCTCTGATCCTGTGGTGTAGTACCTGGGAAGGGCTGAGTCAGCCCTCCTGCCTAATGTTAATCCATGTGGATTCACACCTGAATCCCACAAGCAGGAGCAGAGAGGCTACTCTGGCCTTCATTTGGAGTAAGCCTGGCCCATGTGTCCCTGACAGCTTGGCAGGGGATGGGAGGGAGGAGAGGAGAAGCTGGGAGGAGCAGAGGCTGTGTAGGGGTGCTGGCAGGCTGCAGTTCTTGCTCCTCACCTCTCTGGTCTCCAACAGCCGCAAGTTCACCAAGAAGGCCCCAACGAGCAGCTCCCAGCGCAGCTTCGTGGAGTTCATTCTGGAGCCCCTGTACAAGATCTTGGCTCAGGTCTGTCATGGGTCATTGTTCCTCCCACAGCTCCAGGCAGGAGCAGCTGGGGCTGGGCACTGGGTCTGGTCCTGTCCTGTTCTGCAGTGGGATCTGCACAAGGTGGCTTTGGGGGCGCACAGTAATCATTATTTCTGCAAGCGCAGTGCTGTATTTGCAGTGAATAGAGCAATCCTTGCCCTTCCTGGTGTGCTCTACTAGCAGCCAAGTGACAGTGCTTGGACTTGGAGCAAAGTCTTGGAGCACAAGTTGGATGAGGAGGAGTTGGGGAGGCTCAGCCTGGAGAAAAGGAGGCTAGGGAGCACCTTCTTGCTTTCTACAGCTCCCTGACAGGATGGGACAGCTGGGGGAGGTTGGGCTCTGCTCCCAGGGAACAGAGACAGGAGGAGAGGAAATGGCCTCACGTTGTGCAGGAAGAGGTTTAGATTGGAGATTAGGAAAAATTTCCCCCGAGTTGTCCACAGCTGTTGGCACAGCTGCCCAGGGCAGTGGTGGAGTCACTGTGCCTGGATGGATGTAAAAGCCATGTAAATGTGGCACTTGGGGACTAACATGATTTGATGGTGGCCTTGGCAGTGCTGGGGAAATAATTGGACTGAATGATCTTAGAGAGCTTTTCCAGCCTTCATGATTCCACAATTCTATGATTTTTTGACCCATCTGGCTCTTGTGTGAGCTATAACCCAGTGCAGGTTCCCTGTGGGTGGTGACTGGTATGTGATGTGCCCTGGGGAGCTACTGACTGGGACCCCCACAGTGAACCTGAGAGTGGGACTTGTCTTGCAGGTGGTGGGGGATGTGGACACAACCCTGCCCAGGACTCTGGATGAGCTTGGCATCCACCTGACCAAAGAGGAGTTGAAACTGAACATCCGGCCCCTGCTGCGACTCGTCTGCAAGAAATTCTTTGGGGAGTTCACAGGTACAAGCTCTTTGTCTTCCCCTCCACAATCCTCCTTGTATCCCCAGTACCTCACACCAAGAGTTAAGGGTTATATTTTGGCCAAGGAGTGCTAACTTGCACAGATCCTGCTCAATTTCCCAAATCTAAACTATGACACCAGGATGGCCTGAGACACTGCTCACCTCTCCCCTGCTGCTGTGAGTGCTGCAGTCACCCTGGCTTTGCCTTGTGTTTATGGAGTCCATTTCTTTCCTCCACACTGGTTAACCCTGTCCTCACCAAGTGTTCTTGTTGCAGGCTTTGTGGACATGTGTGTGCAGCACATTCCCTCCCCAAAAGTGGGGGCCAAGACAAAAATTGAGCACACCTACACCGGCGGTGTCGACTCCGACCTGGGGGAGGCCATGAGCGAGTGCGACCCTGACGTAAGGAAACTCCTGTGTTTGTTCTGAGTGTGCAGAACCAAGGCCAGCAGGCTCTGCTCCCCCTGCCCTGCCAGGGCAGCTGCCTCCCAGCCAGCTATCTGCACAGATTTGACTTGCAGCACTCTGAAACCTCTCATCCGACACTGGAACAAATCTCTTCACTCCAAGGAGCTTCAGCTGCCTGCCAGGGCAGCCCTGGAGAGAGGGAATTGTTTCACTGTGTTCAGAGAAGAACAGGTCTAGGTCAGGACTCCAGAGCATGTGGGAGCTGCAGGGTGGTTTTGTGTCCTTTTGCAGTCTTTTTGTCCCTTTTCCTTGAAGTTTAATTCTCTCTCCAAACTCTAAAAAACTGCATGGTGCTGATAAAAATAACCCTGTGTTAGTTAGTCAGCACCTTTCCTCTCCCAACCCTTCCTCCTCCAACAGCTTGCACTGAGCTGTCATTTGGAGTTGTCTGGAGCCACCAACGCTGGCAGCTGAGTGAGAAATTTGCCTGTGACTTTTGCTCTGATGTCTGCAGAGAAAATTATTTTAATGAGTTGTGATTATCCACATAAAACTCCACAGTGGTGACTGTCACCACATCACCAGTGTGGAGTGACCTTGTGGCACTGGAAGCTGTGATCTTGGGGAGCTCAGGTGCTCTGCCCTGAGCAGGTTTGCAGGCCAGCAGGTGACATTTTTCCTCATGGCTTTGTCCCAGCCACCATTTGCTGCTCTATAGGAGCTCTACAGCAGCTCCAGAACAGTCCACCATGGTCATTCCAGGGCTTTCCATACAGGGCAAGGAGGTGTGGGGCTGCCGGTGGCAGGAACTGAAGGACTCGGCAAATCAAAACAATTGTTTCTAAATTCCAGCCCATTTATCCCTTTTATCCACAAATCATAGAATATTCTGAGTTGAAAGAGATCCACAAGGATCATCAAAGTCCAGTCCTGCCAGGTCTGTGTCTATTTCTTGACTGTGTTTTGAAAGAAGCTCATTTCTGTTTCTCTGTGTCATGGGAAGGGTCCCTTGATGTGTCACACAACCAAAATGTACAGCACTGATGATGGTGTCCAGTTCCACGCCTTTGGCAGGGTGCTCAGTGGCACCATCCATGCTGGGCAGCCTGTGAAGGTCCTTGGGGAGAACTACACCCTGGAAGATGAGGAGGATTCCCAGATCTGCACCGTTGGACGCCTCTGGATCTCAGTTGCAAGGTACAGAAAGCTGTGGCAATGTGTTTATTGGGAAAGGAGTCACCTGGTGAGGGACTGGGAGGGAGGGAGAGCTGTCAGAGAGAGGGAGGAGGAAGGTGCTGGAAGGTCTGAGGCTGCAGTGGTGCTCTCCTGCCTTTCAGGTATCACATTGAGGTGAACAGAGTTCCTGCTGGCAACTGGGTGCTGATTGAGGGCGTGGACCAGCCCATAGTGAAGACAGCAACTGTGACAGAGCCTCGGGGCAATGAGGAGGTACCAGGCCTGGCTGGCATTGCTCAGCCTTCCAGGGAGGCAGGGTGATGGGGTACAGCCCAAAAGCTCCTCTAGTGGCGTTAAAGAATCCCTGTCTGCTCCCATGGTGAGGCTAAAGAATCCTTGTCTGACGTACCAGGGCACAAGAGCCACTGAGGGAAAGAGAGCAGCTTCACAGGCTGTGTATTACCCTGAGGACATGCAGGGATGCAGTTTCAGCTCTTTGTCCTCTCTGATTCCAGGCTCAGATCTTCCGTCCCTTGAAGTTCAACACCACATCTGTTATCAAAATAGCTGTGGAGCCAGTCAACCCCTCAGAGCTCCCCAAAATGTTGGATGGTCTCCGCAAAGTCAACAAGAGCTACCCCTCACTTACAACTAAGGTACTGCTGGGGGCCACTTGGATTAGATGATTTCCAGAGGTCCCTTCCAGCCGTAACTGTTCTGTGATTCTCTGTGTGTGTGTGGCTGTTTCCAGCCAGTGCTGGGGGCAGCCTCTGGGCTGATCTTCAAAAGAATCCATTTTTTTACCACAGGTTGTTAATGTTTGTTGTGGGTCTTTTCATGCTGTTTCAGTTGATCTTATAAATTATGTAGAAATAGCAGAAAAGTGTAAATCCAGCAGAAAAACACACACCCTGCTGTGCCAGGGAAGCAGCTTTCTGCAGAGCCCAGCAGCACTTCCTCCTGGAAAAGGCTGTGGGAGCTTTCCTTGGGGTGTTCTGACTCTTAACAAGTGTATTTAAGGCTAATCCTTCCTCAGGCTTGAGTAGGAAGGAGCTGTGAGCAGGGGGGCTGCCAGCTACATCCCTCTCTTGTCTTCCAGGTGGAAGAGTCTGGGGAACATGTGATCCTGGGAACAGGAGAGCTGTACCTGGACTGTGTGATGCACGACCTGCGGAAGATGTACTCCGAGATCGACATCAAGGTGAGGGAGTGAGAGAGAGATTTTCCCTCTGGAAACCCTGGACAGGGTTTTGGTCCCCTCTCTCAGAAGGATGAGAAAAAGAAAACCTGCCTGAACATACTGCATGGATTTTGTCACATTCCTGTAAAAGTAAAAAAAAGGCTGTTAGGGTGTAAAAGGGCCTCTTACAGCCTGACTGTCACACCAGTGGGACTGAGAGTGGCACATTGGCTTGGAGAGGAGTTTTCCATGTTCCAGCCTTCCCTGTTCTTCAGACATTGCCTGGCTAGCATCAAATAAATTGAGCAGGATTTTTAATACCTGGAATTTTATTTAAATTTTCCTGTCTCATTTGAAAGCCTCAGTGCTTCATACATGACCCTGATTAAAACACTGCCAGTTTTTCCTTGTAGGTGTTCAGAGGTTTCAAACAGTCTTTTTACAAACAAAAAAGTACTGAAAACCTTACAAACCTTTTGTTCTTTTAGGTGGCTGATCCAGTGGTGACATTCTGTGAGACAGTGGTGGAAACATCCTCCCTGAAGTGCTTTGCTGAGACACCCAACAAGAAGTAAGGGCCCTGGGTGAGCTGGGATGGGAGGGGCAGAGGGAGGGTCCATCCCTCCAGGGGGGCTGTTCCCACTGGCTGTTGTCCACCAAGTGGCACCTGCCTGAGTGAACAATGTCCCATTGACCTGAGCTCCTCAGGGACACACCTGAGTTCCAGGGATGTTCTTGTGCTGTGTAGGAGCTCTGAGAATGGAGGGAATAAAGCCAGATCCACATCCTCCTTTTTCCCTAAGTGTCACACCTTCTCAGCAGTTCTGAGAGGTGTTCTGGGATCCTGGAGCAGGTGCCAAAGAGCCCAGTGCTGCCTTCAGTAATTCCCCCAACAGTCTCATGAACAAGAGCTGTGTGTTCTCTAATCCATATGTAATCTTGGATTTGTTCTCCTGGTGATGCCCTGGAGCCTTGCAGCTGCTCTCATCTCCCTCCTCCAGCACGTCACAGTGATTGGAAGAGGGAGGCCTGAGAGGGAACATGGGGGAAATCTGTGTGCACAGGATGTTCCCATACCTGAGTTTTCACAGAAATCATGACGTGCTGAAGTTGACTCTCCTGTGTTCACCTGTGGTTTCTGGTTCTTCTTGCCTTCCTTTATTCTGAGACAATCTCGCCATGTTTGGCAGCCTTATTTCTGGGAACAGAGAGGTTCCAGTCTTCACAGAATCACAGGGGGGTTTGGGTTGGAAGGGACCTTAAATCACAGGGTGGTTTGGGTTGGAAGCAACCTTAAAAACCATCCAGTTCCAAGTCCTCCTGTGGGTGGGAACAGCTTCCACCAGAGCAGGTTGTTCTCAGTCAGGTCAGGCTTTGACCTTCTGGGCACATGGGATGACCTGTGCTGGGGCAGGTTTCAGTCATTGGGGGCTTCTCTGAAACAGCTTCTGGTGTGTGAGATGCAGCTCCCAGAGACACCTTGCCTGGCCCATGAGCTCCCTCCTGCAGCCCTGGACAGGGGCTGGATGTGGGACAGGAGGGCTGGAGCCATGCTGTCCCTCAGCTGTCTCCTTCTAGGGCTGAGCAGGCTTTGGGGAGCAGCAGCTGAGCACCTGGGCTGTGTTCACAGGGACAGAGGAGCAGCAGTGGATGCAGGTGACTTCATCAACCCAACTGCATCCAAGCTGGGTGCAGTCAGAGACTCAGAGAATGTTATTAAGTTATTAAGGTTGGAAAAGACCCTAAATTAACTCCAGCTGTCAACCCAGCACCACGTCATGTTCACCACTAAACCATATCTACAAGTGCCACATGCACATGTTTTTTGCACAGTTCCAGGGATGATGACTCCACACTGCCCTGGGCAGCTGTGCCAGGCCTTTACAGCCTTTTCTGTGTAGAAATTTTCCCTAATACCTCACCTAAACCTCCTCTGGCTCAACTTGAGGCTTCTTCCTCTCACCCTGTCCTTAGTTCCCTGGGAGCAGAGTCAGACCTCCCCGCTTGCCTGCCCCCTCCTTTCAGGGAGTTGTGGGAAGCCAGAAGGTGTCCCCTGAGCCTCCTTTTCTCCAGACTGATTCCCCCAGCTCCTCAGCTGCTCCTGGTGCTCCAGAGCCTTCTCTGGACACTCCCAGCCCCTCCAGGGCTACCAGTCCCTGCAGTCTTCCCAGTTAGTCCCATTTCCATCACTGTGGCTGATGGTGACCATCTCTCCTCAGGAACAAGATCACAATGATTGCTGAGCCCCTGGAGAAGGGACTGGCAGAGGACATTGAGAATGAAGTGGTGCAGATAACGTGGAACAGGTATGGCAATCTGGGAGGGCAGGAATGCAGCTGGAAGTAAATAACTGGGGAAAAGGGAATGCTGGAATCCGCAGGGTGCACAGTATCAGGCAGCAGCCTCTAGGCAGGGATCCTGGTTTGGTTTTCCTGCCAGCCAGTCTGTGAGCATCTCTGGCTGAGACTGTTTTGTGCCTGAAGGGAACAGGGTTGTAAATACATTGTGAGTGCAGGTCAGATTCTTGTTTCCTAAAGCTTCTTCCCTTTCTCTCTATCAGAAAGAAGCTGGGTGAATTCTTCCAGACCAAATACGACTGGGATTTGCTGGCTGCCCGTTCCATCTGGGCCTTTGGGCCAGATGCCACTGGCCCAAACATCCTGGTAGATGACACACTGCCCTCAGAGGTGAGGAGTGGGGGCCAGTCTTCAGTGAGACCCTTGTCCCATGGTGCCAGGTGGTGCCCACTCCTCCCAGAACTTTCAGCAAGGCCCTGGTGCCTTTGGGGTGCTTATTGTTTGCCTCAGATCTGCTGTACTTTCCCCACAATGATCCTACACTGGTTACAAGGTCACCTATTATTTTTCAGGTGTTGCTGTTTGGGCCAATGTCCTCAACTTGCCAAAATTTGCAACTAATGGCCTTGTCTTTCAGGATCCCCAAGATGTGGGCTCCTAATTTGTAGTGCTCTAGAAATTGCATAGTGCTGATGCTCTTGGGCCGTGAGAGGGAGGGGTGGACATGGGGGCATAGGGGAACACTGCTGCTCTTTTGGAAACTGGCTTTTAAACGCTGGGTGTTACTGGCTGTGATGAGGTGTGGTCTCTGAAGCTGTCTGTCTGTCTGTCTCTAGGTGGACAAGTCTCTGTTGGGTTCAGTGAAGGACAGCATCGTGCAGGGCTTCCAATGGGGGACCAGGGAAGGACCCCTCTGTGATGAATGTAAGTGGGATCTGTAGGGAAATGGAGACAGTGAGATTGGTTAAATTCTTCCATCTCTGAGCATTCAGGTGTTCCAGGCTGAACAGGCTTGGAGCAGCCTGGTCTGGTGGAAGGTGTCCCTGCCCATGGCCAGGAGCTGGACTAGGTCAGCTTTAAGGCTCCTTCCAACCTGAATCACTCCATGATTCTGTGATACGCAGGGTTATGATGTGGTGATGCATTCCCTGCTGGAATTAAATTTAGGAGAACTGCTGGTGGCTCTGGGTGTTTGGACATCTGGGGATGTGGTTGGTGCTGGCAGAGGATGTCCCCCGGGGTCACAGGCTGTCATTTCTCCCTCCGCAGTGATCCGCAATGTGAAGTTCAAGATCCTGGATGCAGTGATTGCTCAGGAGCCCTTGCACAGGGGTGGAGGGCAGATCATCCCCACGGCCCGCAGGGTGGTGTACTCTGCCTTCCTCATGGTGAGGCCTTGCCTGTGCTGGCTGATCCCCACGGACCTGCCCGGGGTGTGGGTGCACTCTGACTCATTCACCCATCAGAGTCTGCAGTGCCCTTGTGGGCTGGTACACGAGTCCTGCAGGCCTGCATTGCAGCCTGGATGGAAACTGGTGTGCATCTGCTCACTCTCCCCTTCTTGCTGCTGCTGGGCTTGCTGGGAAGGGTGGGCATGGGGGAGAGGAAGGCATGTGACTCATGCCCAGAGGGAGAAAAGGCCCTTTCAGTGTTTGTGCTGTTGGTCTGGGCAGCCATGGGGCAGCAGGATCCTTGTAATCTCGTCAAGCAGTGAGTTTGACTGTGCTGTTGAGCTGTGCTGGTGCTGCGAGAGGCTCAGTGCTCATGTCCCTGTCCCCTCACAGGCCACCCCTCGCCTGATGGAGCCCTACTACTTCGTGGAGGTCCAGGCCCCTGCTGACTGTGTGTCTGCCGTGTACACGGTGCTGGCCCGGCGCAGGTGAGCTGCTCCTGCTGCCAGCAGTGGGGCTTGCAAAGCAGCAGCGTTGGGATCTGGGCTGTTGGAGAATTCCTGGCACTGGTGCAGAGGGTGAAGTCTCTGTGAAGTGACAGTTGGGAGCTTCCTGACTGATCCTGGCCCTGAGCAGTGTGGGGAGGGATGTTGATGTTCAGGATCGCACACAGCCTTTGGGTTGTGCCTGGTTGTTCCTGGGTGTCAGAGAGGAGAATGTACAAAGCACTGGGGATGTGCTCAGCCTCGGGCCCCAGCACAGGAAGGACTTGGACCTCCTTCTGTGGCTCCAGACAAGGCTGGGAAGATGCTCAGGGGCTGGAACAACTTCCCTGTAAAAACAGGCTGGGAGACCTGGGGTGGTTCAACCTGGAGAAGAAAAGGCTGCAGGGAAACCTTAGAGCCCCTTCTAATGCCTAAAGGGGGTCCAAGAGAGGTGGAAAAGGGCCTGCAGTGCCAGGATGTCAGCACAACGGGTCCCCAGCTGGGTAATGATTGACATAGACTCCATGTGTTACAGAAGGCGGATCATTTTCTTTATTAAGAAACTCATTGCTTTTTTATACCCTAATTCACTACAGGTGAACCTAATTGGTCCTTTACTTAAAACACCATCACCAGTGGCTACTTAAGAAACCACTCTTTGGTATCATTTTGTTTATTAAAAAACCCATTGCTTTTTTATACCCTAATTCACTACAGGTGAACTTAATTGGTCCTTTACTTAAAACACCATCACCAGTGGCTAATTAAGAAACCACTCTTTGGTAAACAAATCTCTATAACACATTCCACATGTTCATGATACCAGGTGCAGCAAGTTAAGAACTTTCTTTTCTCTGATCTTCTCAAGCTTTTCCAGGAACAATGCCTGGGAAAGTTGTCTGTTTCTCTCTGTGGCCAGAGAGCTGCTGCCACACGAGGACAAGGGGGAATGGCTTCCCACTGCCAAAGAACAGGGTTAGATGGGGTATTGGGAAGAAATTCCTCCCTGTGAGGGTGGAGAGGCCCTGGCACAGGGTGCCCAGAGCAGCTGTGACTGCCCCTGGATTCCTGGCAGTGTCCAAGGCCAGGTTGGACGGGCTTGGAGCAGCCGGGGATAGTGGAAGTTATCCCTGCCCATGGTAGAGGGGGTGGAACTGTGTGGGGTTTGAGGTCCCTTCTCACCCAGATTTGAGGTCCCTTCCATGATTCTGTGACCCCTAGGAATGCTAATCCTTTGATGTGTTTGCAGAGGCCACGTGACCCAGGATGCTCCAATCCCAGGCTCTCCCCTCTACACCATCAAAGCCTTCATCCCAGCCATTGATTCCTTTGGCTTTGAGACAGACTTGAGGACCCACACGCAGGGACAAGCCTTCTCTCTCTCTGTCTTCCACCACTGGCAGGTGAGTCCATGCCCTGGGGAGATGGGAAAGAGGGACAGGTAGGATCAGGCACCAGGTGGGTACTCCCAGTGCCATAGCTCCAACAGAGCAGGAAAGCTCTGGAGAGCATCCTCGGAGGATCTTGGGGAGGCTTTGTGCACCAGCTGTTCCATGTCTGCCGGGGCTTTGTTCCAAGTCCCATCACTCCCAGTCCTAGGGAGGGAGCCCTGGAAGCTGCTGCTGGCTGAGAGTCAGGGTCCTGCAGTGCCTGGGAAGAGGACATTCCCCTTGGGAGGAGGGAACCTGTTTGGGTCCACTTCATGTTCTGTAGCTTGGACAGCAGAAGTCTTGGAGTGAGGCTCAGCCTCACTGATCTGCCATAGGAAGTTTGATCTGTGCCACACTTCAGCTTTGCCTCTCAGAGGTGGTGCTTTAAACCTGTAGGAAGCAAAGTTTGGGACAAAATACTGTTCTCTGGCCACTTCTGTGTCTGGGGCAGATCAGGTCCTGTGGGTGCCACAGTTGTGAGGTGCACAGTGCTTTGGGGTACAGCTCCATGAGAGCAGCAGCTGCAGGCTGAGTCCCAGCCTAAGGGCTGATGTGTCAAAGCCCAAGGCTCAGCTCTGACACAATAAGCCTCCCTGGTTTGTGGAGGGGGTTGTGCTGAGCAGGACTTGCATGGATTGTTCTGTTAGGAGATGTTATGGGGTCTTGCAGTACTCCCTGGGGAAGGGATATGTCCTTGGGACATGTCCTTGGCTTGAGTTCTCAGCACTGTATTATTGACCTCTCACAGGCATGATCACCAGCAGTGACATGGGTTTGTGTGCCAGGAGAGCAGGTGGGGTGTTGGGGTGTCTGTGGGACCCAGGGATGTTTCCTGTTGCAGTTGGTGTCTCCAGGAGGTTGAAGCAGCCCCAACATCACTCTCACACCCTGGCTCTGTGTTTCAGATTGTGCCTGGGGACCCCTTGGACAAGAGCATCGTCATCCGGCCGCTGGAGCCGCAGCCAGCCCCACACCTGGCCAGGGAGTTCATGATCAAGACCAGGCGTAGGAAGGTGTGTCTGGGGCAAATCCCTGTGCTGTGCCTCTGTCCCAGCAGCTGAGCTGTTGCAGTGTTGTCCCTTGGCTGTGCCACATCCCCTCTGTGTTCCCAGAATGCTCTGATGGCCTTTGTGCCCCAGGACCTCCCCTGTGCTGCCCATCAGAGCCTGCCAGTCCCATCTGTGACCCCAGTCCAAAACACCATCCTGTGGCCTCTGCTGAGCCCTGCTCCCTCCCCAGCCCCTCTGAGCCCTCAGTGGCCTGGTGTAGCCCCCTTGTCCAGCAGAAACAGCAGGAACTGGTTTCTGTGCTGGTTTAGTGAGCTGGACTGACAGGCTGCAGAGGAGCAGAGAGAATCAAGCTCCCCTGTGGGGGGCAGTGAGCTGGTAGATGTGCTCAGCAGCAGAAACCACGTTTGCAGGTTCCTGAGGAGTGCTAGATGCCTTCACGCTGCAGAGAAGCACCTTTTTTGGAGCGTAAATAAGAAAATTTATCTTACTGTGGATCACAAGGTCTCTTCAGTGGGCTCTCTGGGCAGTGGCTGTGTGGGGAATAACCTTGGCTTTGTGTTACCTGCAGGGCCTGAGTGAGGACGTGAGCATCAGCAAGTTCTTCGACGACCCCATGTTGCTGGAACTGGCCAAGCAGGACGTCGTTCTCAACTACCCCATGTAACCCTGCTGCCCTGGCATGGGGGCTGACCCGAGCCCTGGCTGGCACCTGCTGGTTCTTCCCCATCCCTGCTTGCTCAGCCCTGCTCCTGGAGGCTCAGGGCAGGCAGGGAGCTGCTCCTCAGGTCACTTCCATGGCTGTAGGAGTCTCCATGGACCAATTGTGGGCATTTCCATACGGGGAGCAGCCCAGAGCCAGAGCCCTGATCCATTTTGTATTGTTGGTCTCCTGTTGCCTCCAGGGAGGTTTTCCTTTTGGATGGGCTCCTCCAGCTCACAGAGCTGAGCAGTGTCAGTGTAGATTCCTGAGGACTGGGCCTCAACTGTGTCGAGCATTTCAGGCAGCTGAGAAAGGGGGGATGCTGGTGGGGCAGTGCTTTACCAGCCTCCCCAGGAGGAGGAATGTGGCTTTGACCTTTCTGTATCCCTTTTTTTGAACCCTTTTAAACGTTTACTACAAACTTCCAGGCTGGGCTTGGTCTGATTGTGCCTAGACATGGCAGTGCTGGGGGAGGCTCTGCTTTCCCAGTGCTTCCAGTACACATTGTCAGGATTTCTCCCACCCTCAGCCCCAGTTCCCCCTGGCCCCAGCACTGTACCCCTCCCAAGGTCTCGCAGCTATCCCACTCCTGCCTGTGCCAGTGAATGGACCAGCCCCCCAGGCCTATTTTTTTCCTTTCTTGCTCAGTCTTGCTGAGTTTTCAGGGATTTCATCAGCTGCTCATCCTCTGAGAGGTTTTTGGTGCTCCCTCTCCATTCTCCTGCTCTGTCTCTCTCTGAACTCTGCCCCAGTTCTGTCCCAAGTGTGTGCTGTGGAATCAGGGCTGATTTACAGGGATGAATGTCTCCTGGGGACATTCCTGCCCTCCCTGTCCCCTGGCTGCCCCGAGCCTGGCCCTGCCCTGATGCTGCTGTGCTGAGTTTGGCCCTGACAGCCTTGTTCATCCCAGCTCTGGGAACCTGTCCCAGAGCATCCCTGTGCTCAGAGGGGCTTGAGATGGCCCTGGGGCAGCAGCACAGCATGAGCAGAGGGTAAAGCTGAGGACAGCCTCCTCCCCCACTCCCAAAACCTGCCAGCTGCTGGTGGAAACTGGGAGGCACTGGGCTGACATAAGCACAGGATAGGAAACGTCCATGGGACAGCACATCCAGCCATCCCAGCAGGTGCTGGGTCTCTGTGGAAACTGCATGTTGTGGGGGATAACTGAGGCCAGTGGAGCATCAAAAGCAGGGAGGGGAAGGATTTCCTGTCAGCCGACATCGGCATCAGCCCCCAGGCCATGCTGCTGCCCCACCCCATGGCCCAGCAGGAGGGTGCACTGTGCCGGGCTCCGGCCCTAGCAGCACGCTCAGCTTTTCCAGGGATGTGGTCCTGCTTCTCCAGCTCTGTCACCAGGCTCAGCCTTTCCTGCAGGGCAGTGCCAGGAGGGTCCCCCTCACCTCCCCCATCTGCCCTGGCACTGTGGCCTCACCGATGGCATGTTCCCCCTCTGTCCTGGGGGAAAGGGGGGCTCAATCCTGGCTTGGTGCAAGGAGAATACAACCCTGGCACCACCATGGCCACACTGGGGGTGCTTGTCACCTCCCAGTACAGCCCAGCACCAAACTGGGCCCGCAGAGACCAGGCCAGGCGTCTCCCGGAGCAGACCCGGGGATGCTGCAGCGGGATCAGCGTGCGGAGCTTAGCGGTGCTCGGTGCTGCCCTGCCCGTCCCGGGGCTCGGGGGTGGCCCTGCCTCCGGAGCCGGGTGCTCGGCTGCTCTAGGCGGGTTTGTAGGAAGAAGACATCCATCATCCCAGCCTCGGGCTCTCCAGGGCTGGATAAGGGGCCGGACACGGCCCTGGGGACACCGCGGATTGGCATCGCTGCCAGTCGCACCCGCCCTGGGAGAGCAGCGCCCCGAGGCTGCGATGCCCGGGGTGGATCGCAGGTGGGTCCCTGCGAGTGCGGGCATCTTCCCGGCCGGCAGCCCGGGACAGGGCGGCGGGACACGGCCGGGCAGCGTGGGAAGCAGCCGGTTCTCACGCAGGCTCTTCCCAGCAGCTGGAAAACGCTGACCCGCCAGCTGCAAACCTGGCCCTGCGCACGGGAGCTGGGGATTTTCCGCAGAAACTGCTCTGCCCTGGCAGTGGGGGTTTGCGGCTGGACCCTGCCCCCAGCTCCTGTCGTGCGGCTGGAATTTCCCCACACAAGGATCTGTGCGCATGCCCCAAGGGATGTGCCTGCCCGGCCCGTGGCGCAGGTAAACTGAGGCACGTGGTATCACGCTCTGGGAAACCGGGGGCTCCATCTGTGACACGAGCTGGGCTCAGTTTTGGGATGTGCTCCAGGGATGTGCCCCCACCCCCAGCAGGGCCATCAGCAATGAGTGACGCTGTGCTGTCCCCCGAGTTGTTCCCATTTGTCCCCATCCCCAGGGACTTGGGAGGTCCCACAGGATCTGACGCCTCGAGCAGCCATCTCCTCGTGGGATGAGTCCTCACCCTGTGCCGTGTCCCTGCCTCCATCCTGCTCCTGGGGACCCTGACTGCAGTCCTGCTTCTACTGTCCTCATGCCTGTCTTGTCCCCAGTGCCTCCACCCTAGTCCTGGTGTCCCTGTCCACAGCCTATTCCCACTGTCCACTGCTCCCTGTGTCCTTGTCCCTGTCCTGCTCCTGATTCCCACTCTGCTTTGGTGTCCCTGTCTCCATCCTACCCCAGTCCCTGTTCTGCTTCTCAATGTCCCTGTCCCCACCCTGCTCCTGCTCTCTCCATTCCCATTGTCTCCATCACCCATTCTGCTCCCAGTGCCTCCATAATTTTCCTACTCCCCATGTCCCAGTGTCCTTGTCCCCTTCTTGGTCCCATTGCCCCCATCCTGCCCCTGTTGTTCATCCTGTTTACACTGTTCCCATCACTGTCCTGCTCCCTGTGTCCTTGACCTCATCCTGCTTGCAGTGCCTGTGTCCCTGCCCTGCTTCTAATTTCCCAATCCCACCCTTCTCCTGTCCCTAAACTGCTCCCAACGTTCTTGGTTTCCTCCCTGCTCCTGATGTCCCCATCCCCATCCTGTTCCTGGTGTGCCTGCTCTGCTGCCCATGTCCCTGTTCCCATCCTGCTCCCAGTGCTCTCATCCCTGTCCCAGACCTCCACCCTGCTCTTGGTGTCCCTTGTCCCCATCCTGTCCCTTTCCTGTGCTCCATGTCCCTGTCCCCACCCTTTTCCTGATGCCCTTGCTCTCATTCTACTCCAGATGCCCCCATCCCCACACCTGGCCCAGTGTCCCCATCCTGCTCCTGCTGTCCCAGTGTCCCCATTCTTATCCTGCTCTCTGTCCTGATCCTACTTCCTGTGTTCTCATTCCCCTTCTGCTCCTGATGCCCCCATCCCACCCTGCCCCAGTTCCTGTCCTCATCCTGCTCCTGCTCTCCCCATCCCCATCTTGCTCCCAGTGTCCCCATCCCCCATTTTGCTCCCAGTGCCTCCATATTTGTCCCACTCTCTATGTCCCCATCCCCCTCCCAACATCTTTGTCCCGTTCTTGCTTCCACTGCCTCCATCCCGCTCCTGGTCTCCATCCACAGCCCTGTCCCACTGTCCCCATCACTGTCCTACTCCCTGTGTCCTTGTCCCTGTCCTGCTCCTGATGTCTCCATCCCACCCTGTTTTGGTCCCCACATCCCCACCCCGCCCCAGGCCCTGTCCACCTCCATGTGTCCCTGTCCTCACCCTATTCTTGCTATGCCCATCCCCACCTTGCTCTCAGTGTCCCCATTCCACTCTGCTCCTGTCCCTATTCTGCTCCCTATGTCCTCATCCCCACCCTGTTTATGGTGTCCTTGTCCACAGCCCTGCTCCAGTGTTCCTCCCTCTTCCTGTCCTGCTCCCCATGTTCTGTCCTGCTGTGTCCTTGTCCCTATCCCCCTGCTGCGTCCCCATCCTGACCCCACTCCATGTCCTTGTCCCTATACCCCATCCTGACCCGTCCCGTGTCATTGTCCCTGTCCCCTGCTGTGTCCCCCTGGTGACCCAAGTCCTGTGTCCTTGTTCCTATATCCTCTCCTGACCCCAGTCCAGTGTAATTTTCCCTGTCCCCATCCTGACACCAGTCCCGTGTCCTTGTCTCTGTTCCCCATCATGGCCTCTGTCCCGTGTCCTTGTCCTTGACCCCAGTCCGTGTCCTTGTTCCCCGCTGTGTCCCTGTCCCGTGTCCTTGTCCTTGACCCCAGTCCGTGTCCGAGGGGCCCCGGCGCCGCCACGGGCCGGACCCGGTGAGTGGGGGCTGAGGGTGCGGCGGGACCGGGCCGGGCCGGGCGGGGGCCTGAGGGCACCGAGCGGCGCCACCCGAGGGGCCGGAGCCATGGGAGACGGCGGGGGGCTGAGGGGACCGAGCGGCCGTTCCGGGGGCACCGGGAGGCGGGAGCCCGAGTGCAGCCGCGGGCCCAGAGGGGACGGAGCCGCGGCGGGCTGAGGGAGGCGGCAGCCCGGAGGGACCGAGCCGGGCGCTCCGGGGGGAGCCGGAGGCGCCGGGATGAGCCGGGCGCGCTCCGCCGCCGGTGCCGCCGCGAGGGGCCGGTGTCACCCCCCGGGTCCCCGCGTCCTCCCCGTTCCCCGCTGCCTTCCGCGCTCCGGGACGGGCCTCTCCGGGCTGTTTATCCCGAGGGAAGCGATGCCCGAAGGGCTTTCCCGGCCGGAGCGCCGCGTGCCCGCCCGCGGCTGCACGTGTCGAGCCCCTCGGTGATGAACGGAGCGCTGCCCGCGCTGCCGAGCGCGGGAACGGAGCGATCGCACCGGGAGACGCCACCTGTGTCACCCCGTGCCCACCTCTCCTCCTGTGTCATGCCAGTGCCCACCTCTCCTCCCTTGTCACCCCATGCCCACCTCCCCTCCAGTGTCACCCCTGTCCCCCTCCCGACTCCGGGGTGTCACCCCGTGCCCACCTCTCCTCCTGTGTCATGCCAGTGCCCACCTCTCCTCCCTTGTCACCCCATGCCCACCTCCCCTCCAGTGTCACCCCTGTCCCCCTCCCGACTCCGGGCAGGACGGGGCTCCCGGTGGATCCCCAGTGTCAGCTCCTGGAAGCAGCAGCTCCTGCTCAGAATTCCTTGTCCAGATAAACGCTCACAGCGCTGCTGGCAGCTGGAGCCAGCCTGCCTGGAGCTGACGGGCTGCAGCCGTGCGGTTTGGCATTGCTTGAGGAAATACTTCTCCAGCTCCAGGAGTGTTTGGACAAAGCTCTCAGACACGTGGGGGGATTGTTGGGGGTGTCCTGTGTAGGGCCATCAGTTTGCCTTGGTGGCCTTGTGTGTCCCTTCTCACCGAGGACATTCCGTGATTCTCTGTGCTTGACCCAAATGCAGCGCACCATGAGAAGAATCCTGCTCTTGTGTCAGATGAGAATTTTGGCCTCCGTGGGGCCTAACTTTCACCCAGCGTCATAAAATTTCACAGGAATGACATTTGTGCAGCTATTTTTACTGGCCTTTTAAAGGCAATTCTCATTTCTGTTGGTAGGAATTAGTCCTGACACTTTCTGGTCAGTGTGACCTTGCTTCCCAGTGAAGTGCTGATTTTGTTCCACCGTCAAATTAATTACAAATAGGAGATAGTTCATAGGGATTAATTAGGGCATGGATGTACCATATGGATTCTGGAGCAACAGTTGGTACCACCAGGTTCTGATTTTTCACTGGGTGTTTGGTATTTGGAAATGAGAGGGAGAGAAAAACCTTTCTATCTGACAGACCGTTGATTGTTGTTACTATTTCCATGTCTCCTGCCTGCTCTAAGTCAAGGATAATTGGTTAAGAAAAACCCCAAACTGTCCCTTCCTGTTAGAAATCTGTGTCCTGGGGATGTTCAATGAACCAGCTGTCAGTGCAGTTACCAAACCCTCCGTTCTTCAGGTCATTTAAGGGAAAAAGTTGTTGTTTTCTGTCAAGACTCGTGTTTAGGAAAACGCAAGGTGCCTTTCTCCGTATTTTTGCTACTTTCCAAGTCTGTTCCAAAGTTGTGCTTGTGCTTTCCTGAGAGAACAGGTCAGCTCGGCGCTGGAAAGCAGGATGGGTAAGGAGTTTTAAGAGGGAATTTGAGTCTTGCTGTGCAGTTCGACGCGGAGGGAAAGTCCCGCAATTCCAGCAGCGCTTGCATTAACTGGGGAGCAGCAGGGACGGAGCTCTGTGGTCACTGGTGGCTCCCTGGGGGTGGGCTGAGCTGTCACACATTCTGCTGCTGCCTGGCGAATGCGCCGAGAGCTCCAGCGAGGGGCTGGCCCTCGGTGACACCGGCTGCAGCAGTGGAGTGCTGGCTGTCCCCGCGGCTGGCACGGCGGCTGGCCGGGGCTCTGGGCATGGCTGCGGGCACCCAGGCAGCCAGGTAAGAGCTGAGGGGCTGGGGCTGGGCTGAGCGAGGGGTCTCTGAGCCTTTCTCTGCTGAGAAGAGCCCTTTTGCAGGGTATTTCTACAGATTTAGGAACTTGTCTGGCATTTCCAAACCGAAATGCCAGCAGGAGCACGGTGACAGGTCCCTTTGGAGGTTTCACTTTGCATGGAACTTGTTTTACAGGAGTGTCTCTGTTTTTTGGACTGTGCTGGAAGCGCAGCTGCTCCTTGGAGTTTGTTACCCAGCACCTCTTGTCTTTTTGAAATGGGTAAAACTCCTGTTTTACAGGAGTGTCTCTGTTTTTTGGACTGTGCTAAAGCACAGCTGCTCCTTGGATTTTGTCACCCAGCACGTCGTGTCTGTTTGAAATGAGTTTATCAAGGTTTGGATCAGTTGGAATGATGAAAAGTTATTAAAAACGTTTTGTTGACAGGCTGTTCCCTTACCTAAGGGTCTGACTGCCTTTGGTGCTTTTAGACTAGAGTTTGTAAGTTTGTCCTTCCATTGATGGAGGAGACTATTGAGTTATTGCTAATGAAAACATTTCCATTTACAAATCTAAGTGTTTTCTTTATTTATAGAACAATATTACAATTTTTGGGTTTTTTAAAACAACTCACAAGTCTGAATGCAGGATTCTAGACAAGGAATTGTCATGAAATCCTCTTTTCTAGATGTGTACCATCCTCAGCCGTTCATTAAGGGTCTTTTTTTGCCCCTCACTTCACAGCAAACACCCAGGTCATCACAGATAATGTGCAAGTGATGTAAATACTGGTAAATAACTGGAAAATTTGGGTCAAGGACTGAGAGCACAGTGCTTGCTTTGAACAAGGCAGAGAGGAGCCCCAAGAGGGTTGGGAATGTGAGGGATTCTAGGAGTCCCAGCCCTTGGTAGGGGGAAAGTTAAAACTCAGATGCTGGGGAAATTGAGATAAATTTTAAGAATTTAGCAAATATTCTGGTACACCCTGGAGAGTTTTAATTATAGGCACAGTTCTTCTAAAGAATTCAGTGGTTCTAAAGGTAATTGGTGTGGAAATTATACTGCTTAGGTGAAACTTTCTATTAAAAAGTCTTTTCTGGGTTTGGGTGGTTCCAGAGTTTACAAGAATCAGTTTCTTATAAGCTGTGAAATCTAATCACTGATGGAGAGTTTGTGATGAAATTTAACACCTAAATTTGTTGATTTAGTAATTTGCTGACTGCCAGCAACTTCTGTGAGTCAAAAAAATCCCCAGACTTTCCTCATCCACCACTTTTGCCAAGAAAAGGATGAGATCCAGTGCCTGAGGTTGTACCTAGGAGTGATCCAGCCACTTAGGATCAACAGAGCAGCTTAGGAACACCCAGTTAGGAGCTGGATAATCCAGAAGGTGCCTTCCTTGGGTGTGTGATGGATTGGGTCACTGAAAATTCAGTGCCTTCGTGCTTCTCAGGGGAGCTGAGAATCCAGAGCCACAAGGGCTTGGTGGTGCCTCTTCCTGTGATGCTGGAGAGTGAGCAGACCTCATGGAATGGTGAGCTTTCCATGGAGAGTGAGCAGACCTCATGGAATGGTGAGCTTTCCGTGGAGAGCTGCTGGAGCCCCACAGAGTGTGTGAGCCCAGGCAGACCCTGCTCACTCGGGTGAATTTTGGTGATTTGTGGTCATTGGCACCTGCAGAGGGGTGCTGGTTGAGTAAAGAAGTGATGGAATCAGGAGTTGGACTTGGATGATTTTTGTGGGTCTTTTCCAGCACAAGATATTCTGTGATTCTCAGAAGTCAGGCTGCAGCCTCACCACCAGCATGGAGCTGGGGAGAGGGGGCTGATCTTGGGGCTCTTTCCTTACACCACTTCAATTTTCAGCACCTTTTTTAAAGGTGGAAATCACAAGGTGCCTCTTTTGCGCCTCATCCTTCCTGCCAGGACAGGATTCCCTGAAGCCCAGCAGGAACTCAGACAAGGGTGGTGATCATTAAACACTTGGAGTGAAACCCTGGTGGATAATGGACCCCTTTGTTGTCCCTCCCGGGGGATGGGCACTGCTGCCTCATTAGGGGGAAGGTGATGCTTTGCTCCCACCCTGCTTCACAGACTTTGTGTTCTGTGCTGCCACTCCACAGAGTTCACTTGTGCTCCAGATTTATGTATTTTTAATCTGCTTAATAGGAGGCAAATTATTGCCATTAAAAAAGTTCCATTACAATTCCCTGATTTTTACGGTGGCTCTACTTTGTCCCTGCTGACATGCGGAGGGAATCACATCCCTGCCCAGCCAGTAGGGAGACTCCCAGAGTTACAGATGGCCCCTGGACCCCGCTGCCAGCCCCTCAGGGGTGGCTGCACAGCCACCCCTGTGTGCCCTGCTTTGGAAGGGAGTGAAGGTTTTATTGCAGGAGCCCCTGGCATTTATCAGTGTTTGCAGCTGCTCTCGGCAGTTCCCGTGAGCAGCAGGAGTGCAATTCCACTGTCCCGTGCTTGTGCCATGGAATAACAGGCTGTGCTTTTTATTGACTCAAATTGTGGTTAATAATGGTCAAAATGTATTAAATCACATTTTGCTTGCTGTGTTCAGTACCGCTCAGTACGTAAATTCCGCTCTTGAAAAAAACCCGTGTTTTTAAAATGCCAATATCACCAAATTTCCCATTCACTGCCCATTCTTGGTCCTGGTTTTGGGAGGCTCGTTGCTTTCCATTAAAAGCTACAAAGAGGAATTTATCTCCAAAATGCTTCTTGGAGGGGAAAGGGCAATGTTAGCATTTCCTTTTCTGACCTCCTCATACCATAAATATGAATTGTTATTGCTGCACGGGTAGTGACACACAGTTCTTCCCAAATTCAGGACTGCCTGGAAGATCTGGTTGGGATTTTTAGAAACTTGACTTAGTTTTGGCATAAAATGAAGATTTCAGGTGAAAGTTCCTGCATGTGATGTGGGATAATTGACATACTCAGCGTGTGGCTGGGCAGTTGTGACCTTACTGGTGATTCCTGGTGAAGGAAATACTGAGAATGGCAAAAACAAATCCCTTTTCCTTCTGCAAATATAGAGAACTTGGTTTCATACCTCACTACTGGCCAGTAATTCCTCAGTGATTCTGTTTCAAGGAAGAGTATGATTCCATTTCAAAGCAGAACCTAGGGTTTTAAGCAATAACACAAGTTACAAGGTTTTCTGGCTATAAATAAAAAATCTATATTTGGAAAAAACAAATAGTGTATTTATGGACAAAACTGTATAAAAGGAAATGTGATGGAAAAATTGAGTCAGATGAGCTGATGTATGAAGCATTTCCCTCTGGAGTCATTGGGCTGAAAAATGTTTTATATGCCTAAACTTGAACAGATGCTTCAGCACACACACACACACACAGTCCTCCCCCGGTTCATATTAGCAGTTCTGCTCATACCACTGTGATTAATTCCCAGACCAGCCTGGTTTAGGCTCTTTTCAGGGGGCTCCGGGGTATTTCCAGATCATCCAGGTACTTAAGCCATGCCTAGCTGTAAATAAGCGAGCAGCCCGGATTATTAGCGGGATTTGTTTCCAGCTTTGCATTAGGCATGTGTTTAAATGACTCACTGAGCTGGGATTTACATTTTTACACGGGAGTGAAGGATTTCTCTCTATTACCTTGCCTAGATGGAAATTGGTGGAGTCAGCCAGCTTTTTTGCCTAAACAAATCCATGAAACCAGCTTTGGGCTCTTACAGTTATTAGTTCCAGCTTTTTAGTTACAAATTTGTCAGAAAACAAGTCTGAGTGTGCGTGCCTGACCTCGATTGAGATACTGAGGAGGACTGAAGGAGGGAGGGAGGGAGCATCCATATGGATGACCAGCAGATTGTGCCTCGTGTCCTTTCCAGTCCCAATGTCGAATGCGCAGTCGGTGGCACTGGAGGAGGCTGACAACTGCATTGGATTATTTTCCATCGAGTCCCCACTCTGGTGTCCCGCCCAGCCATTAATCTGCTGTCCTGGGGTGCAGGGTTTGCCTTGTAAGTGGCTGTGCACAGCATTCCCTCTCCTTTGAACATCCCCAAAGTCTTCCCCAAAAGTGTCATATCTTGGGGACGCTTCTGTCCATTTCGCTTTTCTGATGAAGTAGTGTAGAAAAATTACTTCTGGGTCTGAGCATGGGTCTGGCTGTGGTGTGCCTGGGGAATGCAGCTCCTGCAGGATGAGGGATGGTGCTGGTGGCAGCAGGGGATGGAGCTCCTGCCCGCGGTGACATCCTGGCGTGAGTGGTGCAGCCCTGCCAGACTCGGAACAAGCCATTGCCTGTGAAGTTCTGTATCTCTCTCATGCTTAAAATAGTCAAGAGCCTGGAAGGGTGATTGTATGTCTTGTGTGTGCCCATGTTCCCTTGAGGGGGAGTTTTGACTCCTTGTTAACTCCTGGAAGCCTGGCTCTGCTGTGGATGCAGGGACAAGGATGACACCCAGCACTGCGTAGTCCTGAGGTTAGAGATGTGTCTGTAGGCAGGCAAGGGGGTGGGTGTAGGTTGTGCACATGGGGCTGGCCTTGGTGTCAGTGCATTTTTAATAGCATAAAATTAAAATAGTTAAAGTTCCTAATGTGTCTTTCAGCTGTGCTGCCCTGCATGCAGCATGTCCTCCTAAAAATCTAAAAATCTCCTGATTCTCAGGGTAAACATTGAAGTCGTTGAGAAATGACTGAATTTTACTTGCAGCAGATTAATTCACAGGAGTTACTCAGCTGGTGCTCAGATATGGAGTTAAACTATTTTGAAAGGAGAAGAATTTTCATGGTGGAAACTGTGATTCCTGAGATATTATAAAGCAAAATAAAATTGAAGTGTTTGGGAGGAAGCACATGGCGATCTTCCACAGAGCCATATGGAAATTATCTTTATTCCATGGTTCGTGTGAAGTCTTTGCTCCTTCTGGAGCTGACTTGGAGCCTCCTCCTCAGTGCTGTCCCCAGCTTGGTTTGTATTCCTCGCCTGTTCTTGCTCTCTTTGCAATCTGTGACCAAATCCTAT